CCACGGACGACGCGGAGGTCGCGAGGGAGCCGCCGCCTGAGCCGGCGGATCACGGCGGCGGAGCTCACGGTGACCACGGAGACCACGGAGAGGTGACCGGGGGCAGAAAATAATAAAAATTATAATAAAAAAAACTCTCCACAAATAGTGGACTCATAAAATAATACAAATAAAGGATAATAAAATAATTGTGAGAATTATTTTATTATGTTTTATTTGTGTTATTTAATTATTTCCCTTCTAGGTGATTTTACCGACAGAACCAAGAAGATGAATCCCTGCAGTCACGAAAGCTTTAAATCGAAAAATAGTGGACTTTCTCACGAGCGTCTCCTCGGTCCCTCGCAACGAGTCCCTGACGGTCGAATTTGTGTTGTTCGTGGCCGTTTTCAGTTTGACTTTGGGGACGTGTTTGTGCACCAAGCCATCCACACCATCGAGTACTGCCTGGGCTGCATCTCCAACACGGCCTCCTACCTGCGCCTCTGGGCCCTCAGCCTGGCCCACGCCCGTGAGTTCACCCCCCCCAACCCCCCCCCCCCCTTTGTCGTAGCTGCGATCTCCCCACGGTGTTTATATCTGGGTCCCGCTGTCGGCGTCGCGTCGTCGTCACGAGAAGAAGAATCCGTTGGGGTCTCTCGCGGGGCGGGGAGGGTCGCCGATTGCCGATAGCCGAGCTTTGACGGACACCTGTCGGGGCGCGCTGCGTTTTTGCCGAAACCCGCTCGGTCGCCTCAGAGAGCGCCGCGCGCCGTTGACACGCCACGTGCGGTTGACTCTTCGCGTGGGGTTGACGCGTTCTGCCGTCCCCTGGAGCAGAGCTGTCCGAGGTGCTGTGGACCATGGTGCTCAAGATGAGCCTCAAGAACGGGCAGTGGTCCGGCCTCGTCATCGTCTTCTTCATCTTCGCCGCCTTCGCCGTCCTCACGGTGGCCATCTTGCTCGTGATGGAGGGCCTCTCGGCCTTCCTGCATGCGCTGCGCCTGCACTGGTAACGCACACACACCGGCACAGACACACGCGCACAGACACACGAGCACAGACACGCACACAGGCACGCACGCACACAGGCACACACACAGACACGCACACACACAGATACACACACATACAAAAGACACCCCCATATAGCCTTGACAGACTGTAGGGGCAAGTGCTGTTAGCGAGCACCTACGAAGGCCGGAACGGTACACGAGGGGGTGGGTGGCCAGCACCACGCCCGACCGCCTTTATCTCCCCAGTGGCGATGTTTACTACACACCGCACTCGGTACTCATTCGAGGCTGAGTTGACCTAGGGGAGGCCTAGGACCGGTTCAGATAATCGTCACTGGTGTTGGCCGTGAGCGTGAATCGAACCTGGATCGTCGGGTTCATAGCGCAGCGTAGCGCTAACAACTACACCCGGCTCGCCGGTCGCGAGCCGCCCGCACCACGGCCGTGGCCGCGAGTCAACCTCCGGTTATTTCTTCCACCCCTCCCGTCGTGCGCCAGGGTGGAGTTCCAGAACAAGTTCTACCACGGCACGGGCGTCAAGTTCACGCCGTACTCCTTCGAGAGCATGCTGGAGGACGGCGGCGGCGGGGACTCTGAGAGCTAGGCCCGGGGGAGCCTCTGACGGGGCCTGTCCCGGGGCCTTCTACGCAGCGGCCTCCCTGCTGCGGCCCAGCGGTCGCGCCACCCCCGGCGCTCCGCGGCGTCGCTGCGTTTCAAGGCCCCGTTTCGCGTAGGCCGCTTTGCGGAGATAATCGTAAAAAGTTCAAAGTGAGTGTTTTTGTTTTGTGTTTAACCAGGTGGTGAGAGTGTCATGATGCCAGAGCGGCCTAGGTCACGGAAGCGACAAAAGCCACAACGTGAGCAATGAAGCCAATAGACGTCGGCGTGAAAACGCAAGCGGCGTTGGGGGAAGAAATTCCGGACGGGTCACAAACGTAGATCAACGTCGATTGAAGTTGATTTCCCGCAACGAAATTTGTCTTCGGTAAAATCACTAAAAATGTATTACAAAAAAAGCGTTTGTAGTGAAACGAAGTTGAAGACGACGCGGATTGATGGGGGCGATCGCAGTCGTGTCGGTCCCCACTCCGCTCTGCTGCCTCCTCCGCCGCAGAGACCTTGAGGCTCGTGGTCTCCTCTTCCCCCGTTGACCAGACGCCTTGAACGCATTGGGCACCTTCCCGGCCGCAGCCCCGAGCAGGGCTTGCCGCGTCCCACGGCGCGCCGCTCTCCGCGTGTGTCGCTCCTATCTTGATGTGAAGCTTTCGTGACTGCAGGAATCCATACTCTTTGGTTCTTTCGGTAAAGTCACGTAGGTAGAAATAAATAAAACAAATCACTATTTTGTTTTATTTTATTTCTAACTCCGTGACTTTACCGAAAGAACCAAAGAGGATGCGTGACTCCTACTCGCAAGTGGCCGCGCTTTTGTGAAATTATTTTTCTTTGAAAAGAAAATCCTCCTTGAGGCTTTCGGTTGTTCCGTGAGCGTTGGAGTCGGTGGTCCGACTGCATTTCCGATGAGGGCCGGCACCGGTGCATCGCCGGTACCCTCGGCGCCGGCTGCGTTGTCACGCGCCCCGTGCCTCGTACCCCCTGTGCCTCGTGCCCTGTGCCACGTGCCACGTGCCACGTGCCCCGTGCCCCGTGCCCCGTGCCTCCCGTTGCCGTCTCTCCGATGGCATCGACTGGGACCCCACCGCTCGGGTCACGGCGCTGTACGAGGCTGTGCCGTCGCGAGCAACTGTTGCCATAAACCCGCAGTTGTCGGCCTCGGGGAACAGTGAACGCGGGGGGGGGGGGGGGGGCGCGGGGCGTGGGATATCACAAGTTGCTCAAAGGTTGAAGCGAGTTCTGCGACTGTAAATTGGTCGATGGATTTTGAATAAACCGGATGACTGCACCTCGTGCCGTGTGAGCTGTGCACGCTGCACGCGTTGAACTTCTTTCGCACCCTACGTCGCCCACCAAGCTCGAGTCACGGGGGCGCGCTGGCGCTGCCAGGCGCAGTCCACGAGCGCGCAGCTCCTCGTCGGGAGGGGGGCGCCGCCGCAGTCCCTCGGCTCCTCGCCTCGTGCGCCGTGAGGACGGAGCGGGTGAGACTCCCCCCTCGGGTGGAGTGCGAGGGGGGAGTGCGAGGGGGGCGCCGTCGATGCGGGCACGGGGGGGGGCCCCATCAGGAGTTTGGTTTGTGCAGCTTGCAGGCAGGGAGGGGGTGGGGGGGGGGTGCACGATGCACCCTCGATGCTCCTCGCGTTGCACCGGGGACACGGGGGGGACTGATGGCTCCACCCCCCCACCCCCCGTTCCGCCCCCCTTGGGAGCCCGGCGCACCCCCCCCCCCGGCGCACCCCCCCCCCCCCGCGGTGTGTGGTGCAGGGTAATCTCTACAGCAGTGCACACGTGTGTGTGTATGCATACACACACGTGTGTGTGTATGCACACGTGTGTGTGTGTGTGTGTGCGCGCGTGTACACGTGCGCGTGTACACGTGCGCGTGTGCGTGTGTACACGTGTGTCCGGAACATGTTAGTGTAGCGGTTAGCACGCTGCACTACGACCCCGGAGACCCGAGTTCGATTCCCGCTCACGGTCAACACCAATGACGGGTTTCAGAACCAGTACTGGGCTTCCCTTAGGTCGACTCGGCCTCAGATAAATACCCGGTGCGGTGTGTAAACACATCCCCACTGGGGAGACGAAGCGGGGTCGGGCGTGGTGGTGCTGGCCGTCCACCCCCTCGTGTGCCTGGGAGTTGGCCTTCGGAGGTGCTCGCTAACTGATTGGCCTCCATCAGAGACGATGCATATGGAGGGTGCTTCAAACAAATGTTAACGCTTATTATGGGACTATCGTTTTTAATGGGAAAAACCGGATAATACATTGTAACATGATGACAGATGTAATGGTAATAGCTTCCGGAAGTCATCGAGTCTCCACTTGTTCGCCGTCGTGGTCGTCAAGTAGGCTGGCATCTTCCCCAGGTGGTCTCCAGAACCGTGAGCCACGCTTCTTGTGGTGTTGTTGCAAATTGTCTCAAGTGTCGACGTTTGTTTGAAGCACCCTGTGAGTGATTATCATCAAAGCATCTCCGTTGACATGTTCGCCACAAGTACGCGTGGTTCATGCCGACTTGATTCCTTGCAAAAAAAGGTTTCTATTTGTTGTTTAGATATCTTAACACCTCCTGTTGTTATTGCCAGAACGGGTAAAACCTCGTCTTATTATTCGTACTTTGATACGGGCAAAGATGTCCCATGAACGTCAACTTTGGGGCCTCGGGTCCCCGATCCGCCTCGTGGGCCCTTGTGCAGTTGCACCGCCTGCACACCCAATGCCTGCACCCCTGCTGGAGCCCGGATGTCGTCTTTATTTAGAGAACGCAATGCAAACCGCTCAACCACGTGGGCTGTTCAACATTGCACGGCCACACGATCTCTGCGTTTCGTAAACCCAAAAATGGCAACGTTGCTTTGTGATTCTTAAACAGCAATTTAATTTACAAAAAAAACCCGTGGAGGTTTTGCAACGGCGACTAATTGATCCATGCAGAGATGTTCACTGACTGTGATTTCCGAGTTTATTTGAGTAGTTTGTACTTTCCGCGAAACTCAACTTGCAATTGGAAACCCACGGAACCCCGCCGCTTGCTGCTGCCGCGAGGCTTTGATGAGCCAGAGAGAGCGAAGAGTTGGCAGAGGACACCCGCAGCTCGGCAGGGGGGCTCGGGGGGGGGGGGGGAGAGCTCGGGGGGGGGGGGGCTCATGGTGGCTCCTCATGGGGGGGGGGCTCCCCTCCCTTCCCGGGGCCCTTCCGTTCCGTGGAGACGCGCGTGGGCATCCCGTCCGCTGGTAGCCAGTAGGCAGTGCCCGTCTATATGAAGACGCGAATCCCCCCAATGAACGCGGGGGGGGGGGGGGGCACGTGGCGGTGCGGCCCTGGAGCTGCCCAGCGCCTCTCGACCGCTGGGGAAGGAGTCGCGCGGACTCCGCTGTGGAGAGCCGGGACCGGGGCCCGGGTGGTGGCGGTGGTGGTGGTGGTGACGATCTCGCCACTCGTGATTTCGCTGCGAGTCGCGACCTCTGCACCGTGCCCCGTGGCGAACAACACTGGCGTCCACTGTGCGCGAGACAGATCGTTTTGTCTTCTCTTTTGGATAGAGAACTCGGACATGCGCACACACACATGGAGACACACACACGGAGACACACACACGGACACACACACGGACATACACACGGACACGCGCGTGTTCTGTAGTGACCCGCGGATGGCACCGCTCGCCACTGGCGCGTTGTGCCGGGGCCCCGCGCGGCTCTCCGTGGGAGGCCGCGGCTATAAGAGGCGGCGGGGTGGACGCGCGCGGACGGGCTCGAGCACTCCGCTCTGCGCGTTTCTCCTGCTTGCTCAGCCCGGCGAAGGCGGCGGGCGCGACAGCGACACAAAGAAGCAGCGCCCAGGCTTTGGGTGGCCGCCTGCGAGGGCGAGCCCACGACGTGGTGGCCCCCAGCCCTGCTAGAGGACAGCAGCAGGAGCAGCAGCAGGAGCAGCAGCAGGAGCAGCAGCAGGAGCAGCAGCAGGAGCAGCAGGAGGAGGAGGGGGGCCAGGGTCCACGCTCGGAGCTGCGTCTCAGAGTTGCTGCCGCGGCCCCGGGATTGTGCCGCGGGTGTCGTCGCGAGTGGCGCTGCCCGGCACACACCTGGACCCCCCCCCCCCCCGGCACACACCTGGACCCCCCCCTACGCGCCCCCCCCCCCGCAGGTAAACACGGGGAGATGGAGCTGCTGCTACTGTGCCACCCCAAGCTGCTTGCGCCTGGTTGTGTATACACAAACATTGTGTGTATCTGTATACACACACACCTGTCCGACCCATAGGTCGACTGAGCACGTGGTGCGGTGTGTTACCATCAGCACTGGTGGGGAGACAAAGGCGGCCAAGACGTGGCCTCGGGCCACCCCCCCCCCTGCGCGCTGCCCCCCCCCCGCAGCCTGCCGACCTCTGAACTCACGGCCTAGAAGGGGCTGGGGGGGGGCTCTGTAGGAAGAGCGAGGGGGCGATCCATGAACAGACACCCCACCGGTGTCTCGCGACCCTCCGGGCGCCCTGGGGGTTGGTGGCGACCTGGGGGATGGGGCGCCCTGGGGGCGGTGCGGGACGTGTGGACACGCACGCCCCGAGGGCGCTCACAATCTCTTCTCTCTCTCTGCTCTCTCGGGGACCGTCTGGATACGGATCGCCCCGTGTACACGCAGCGGTCGTGCAATGCTGCTGAGAATGTGCCGCCTTTAATATGTAAATGTAGTCGGCGACGTTTCGGGCAATGTCCCTTCTTCATAGCACGCGTGCCCCTTTGTTTAAAGGCAGTGGAAATTAATGAACTGCCAGGGAGCCGTGTTGACGATGGCGTGTGTCGAGAATACACACACACACGTGGTCTAGAATACACACATGTGGTCTAGAATACACACACACACACGTGTGGTCTAGAATACACACACACACACGTGTGGTCTAGAATACAAACGTGTGTGGTCTAGAATACACACACACACGTGTGTCTAGAATACACACACGTGTCTAGAACACACACACGTGTGTGTATTCTAGACACACACGTGTGTGTGTGTGTGTTTTAGACCACACACGTGTCTAGAATACACACACACGTGTGCGGTCTAGAATACACACGTGTGTCTAGAACACACACACACACACGTGTGTGTGTTCTAGACCACACACGTGTCTAGAATACACACACACACGTGTGTGTTCTAGACCACACACGTGTCTAGAATACACACACACGTGTGTGGTCTAGAATACACACGTGTGTCTAGAACACACACACACACGTGTGTTCTAGACACACGTGTGTGTGTGTGTGTGTAGTCTGTCGAGGCTCCCCGGGCGGGGCCTTTGCCTGAGGTCGCCGCTGTCCCGGCCAAGTGGAAGCGCCGCAGTTTGCGGGAGCCGCGTCCTGCAACGTGTCACCTGTCGCGTTTGTCCCGCGACTCCCTCGCACGCCGCCTGGGCGGCAGCCACCGCCTCGTACACGGAGAAGCGCGGTGCAGCCGCAGCAGCAGCAACAGCAGCTGCAGCAACAACAGCAGCTGCAGCAGCAACAGCAGCAGCTTCATCACCTGCAGCAGCCACAGCAGCAGCCGCAGCAGCAGCAGCCGCAGCAGCAACAACAACAGCAGCAGCATCCTGCGTCCCGTGCCGTGGCCGCGTCCTCACGGGGAGCGGCGGCGCGGCGATTTGGGTGCGCAAAGCCGACATCGACCCCCCCCTAGCCCCCCCCACTCCCGGCTAACGTCAGTGGCGAGCGCAGTGACGAACCGGCCCCGGTCGGCCCGTGCCCAGCGACCCACGCAGAGCAGCGCGGTGCGCGCTGGGGTGGTCGCCCTCGTCCAGCAGTGGAGCGGCAGGGGGCAGTGCGGGGACGAGCCACATCATCATCGTCCATCATCATCTTCATCCATCGTCCATCATCGTCATCACCATCATCATCATCATCATCCATCATCATCATCCATTATCATCGTCACCATCATCATCGTCACCATCATCATTCATCATCCATCATCATCATCCATCATCATCATCATCGTCACCATCATCATCCATCATCCATCCTCATCCATCGTCATCATCATCGTCACCATCATCATCATCATCGTCACCATCATCATCATCGTCATCCATCATCATCCATCATCATCATCATCATCGTCACCATCATCCATCATCATCATCCATCATCATCATCATCATCCATCGTCACCATCGTCATCGGCATCCATCATCCATCATCATCATCGTCCATCATCATCGTCATCGTCACCATCATCCATCGTCATCATCATCATCCATCACCATCCGTCACCATCGTCATCGTCACGGGACCCCGCTGCTGCCGCCGCCACCGCTGTTCGAGTCGCGGGGTTCAGAGTCCACGCGGCCGTCGGGGCGCTGCGCGGCGTTCTGTGGCGTCTCGCAAAGTTCCACTTCGCCATCACCACCAACATCACCACCATCACCACAACTATCAACATCACCACCAACATCACCACCAACATCACCACCATACATCACCATCACCACAACTATCAACATCACCACCACTATCAACATCACCACCACTATCACTACTCTTAACATCACCACCACTATCATCATCACCACCAACATCACCATCAACATCACCACCATCACCACAACTCCCAACATCACCACCACCATCACCACCACCACTATCAACATCACGACCATCAACAATCACCGCCATCACCACCACCATTCTCAACATCACCACCACCAACAATCCCTACCACTCATCAGCAGCCATTGTCTATCCACTGCTGGACTGAAGCCCCCCCCCCTGCCCGCGCCTCGTCCGAGTCTGGGCGCACGGCCTCGCCTCTCGAGGCCCTCGCCTCTCGTGGCCTCGCGAGCGGCCCCCGGCGATGTCCCAGAGGAGGCCGCGGGGCCACAAGCGGCGCGACTCTCCACCGCTGCCGCTCGCATCGACCCTCAAGCACCACGTGAACGTCGCAGCGACGTCGCTCTCGGGGTGCGCTCGGGGTCGGGGGGAGGGGAGCTCCGTCCAGAGCAGCCCAGGAACTTATCGCACTCCGTCTCGGACCCCTGCGCTGTTCCCTCACCCAGGGGCGTCGCGCGAAACGTCGGTCTGCTTGCAATGACGAGTGGTGGTGGTGGCGGGGGGAGGGGGAGTTTGGTGGTTTGCGACCGTAGACGGTGCCGGACACCGTGCACGTGACCCGCGGGGGGTAGAGTCAACATGCAGGCTGCTGCTGCTGCAGATATACAGGCTGCTGCTGCTGCAGATATACAGGCTGCTGCTGCAGGCATACAGGCTGCTGCTGCTGCTGATATACAGGCTGTTGCTGCAGGCATACAGGCTGCTGCTGCTGCAGGCTACTGCTGTTGCTGCAGGCATACAGGCTGCTGCTGCAGCAAGCTGCTGCTGCTGCAGCAGGCATGCATGCTGCTGCTGCTATTGCTGCTGCAGGCTGCTCCGACCTGTTGCGTATCTCGCGAGCGACGGCTCTGACGAGAGACGACTCCCAAGAAGAGCCTCTCCGTGTCTCCACGTGCATTCCGACTCGCTCCTCCTCTCGTGCTCTCCGTGTCTCCACGTGCACGCCGACTCGCTCCTCCCGTGCGCTAACCGCGTCGTCGTCTCTCTGTCTCCGCTGCCGCCCAGGTGAGGTGCCCAGGTGAGGTGCCCAGGTGAGGTGCCCAGGTGAGGTGCCCAGGTGAAGGTGGTGGCGGCCGTGCCAGGACAAGTGAACGCCGACAGGTAGAGACGGCCCACCGAGCGCCCGCATGCCGCTCGCCGGCGCGTGCGGGTTTCTGCGTCGATGCCCGCGTGCTTTTTATTGTTCGGCGCCATGTCCGACGTTACGCGCACACCGCGCCCGACTACGAACACACCCACCACGAGGTACCCCGCTCACACACAAAAGACAAAGATCCCCCGGTAGTCCACACAGGCTCGCCGGGGCAAGTGCTGTTAGCGGGCCACCTGTGTGTAGTCGGGCCGGGGCGGCGCGCGAAGGGACGCGTGGTAGACACTCGTGCACCGGCGCCCGTCCGGACACGTTCGTCTCCAAAGTGCTGCTGTCCGCACACACCACCACCACCACCGCACTCTGGTTTTAAGGCTGAGTCGACCAAGGGGGAGGCCCCGGACCGGTTCAGATCGCCGTCACTCGTTGTTTGTGAGCGGGAATCCCACACGGGTCGCTGGGCCCACTCCTCTTACCGCTACCCACATCACACGCGCACCCGGAGACTCGCGGTCATCGTTCAGACGGTTTGGGGAACACGCGAAAATGATAGAGCCATGGCTTGATGCAGGAGAGGGAGTGGGTGGGGATGGGATTGCGAGGTGAGATGGAGAGGGCGGGGGGGGGTTGAGAGGTGGGATTACAAGGCAGGATTGAGAGGGGAAGATTGTGAGGGGGGATGGAGAGTGGAGGATTGCACCGTGGGATTGCACCGTGGGATCGCGAGGTGTGATTGCACGTTGGGATTGCACGCTGGGATTGCCCGGTGGGATTGCCCGGTGGGATTGCGAGGTGTGATTGAGACGTGGGGTCGCCTGGTGGGATTGCGAGTTGGGATCGCGTCGACCGCGGCCCTGAGCTGTTCCTCTACGTGGCCAAGGCTGGCGGCAGCGATGGGCGGTCTCTGCGTTGCCACCGAGACGCTCGCCGCCTTCACCGAATTACAACTAGATCTGCACGCACGGCAAAACAAACTTACAGTTAATAAACACCACACCTCCCTCGCTCATTCTGGCCATCACCACCCACGGGTAAAGTGCCCTTGGCGAGCCACTCCAGTGGGTTTGACGTCGTTGATTTACAACTCGGATTGCGTGGACGTCTTGCGCCACTGGTCGGTAAAACGACCAAAAAAACCCACCGTGCAGCCGCCTTGGCAATCCGCTGCTGGATGCGAGCTTCTACCGCGAGGCGCTGCGGGTGTTTGGCCCAGACTTGACCGCGCTAATGCGATCGAAACGTCGTGATCTGTTATTTTCCACCTACGTGACTTTACCGAAAGAACCAAAGAGTATGGATCCCTGTAGTCACGAAAGATTCAAATCAAGATTGTCCCACACTGGCCTGAGACCGCAGTGAGTGACCTGCACCCTCCCTCCCGCGGCGACGAGAAAGCACCAAGAGTTTTGGGCATGACGAGCCGTACAGACAATGCGCGCCAGCGATGACCTATTTAGGGTTCCTTCACCTGGGGGAGATCTAGGCCAGTCTTCTCCTGTTCGCACTCTTATCGCTACGAACACGGCCGTAGCGTGTACATCTCCAGTGTCGTTATCTGTCTCCCTTACAAGGCCGACACTATCGCAGTTGGCTTTCACTTCCTGATTTGAAGCTTTCGTGACTGCAGGAATCCATGCTGTTTGGCTTTCACGTGATTATAAATGATAGTTCTTGCACTTTGAGCGCCGAGGACATAGAGGCAAACAGATATTGTCCCCGACGGTGAGACGCCCGATAAATATGTAGCTAATTCTGTGTCGTGTTCACATTGGCCCGAGACTTGTCCAAGGCCCGGCGAGAGAGGCAGACCGGGCGGGTTTCACGAGGAGCGAGCCCAGGGCGCCTGGCGTGCTGGCACCGGGCCGCCGTGACGCGCCCCGGCTCTTTGCGGTTTGTGGAACTCTCAACCCAAATCCGAGTCAAGTCAAAGTCCCTGCTGGAGACAGGGCGCGAGGCCACGTTGGCCGTGGCGCTCGCCCCTCTCCCGCGAGCCGCCGTCCTCCCGCGAGCCGGATTTGAGCTTCCAGGATGAACTCTGCGGCTCTTGCGGGCCCCGGCGTGAGCGGGGGGGGGACCCTCCGCGCCTCTCGCAGCGTTTTACTTTGAAACGAAATGCGTGGCAGCCGCTCCGTTCCACCGCCCACCTCGGCCACGGGGCAGGGACCTCTGGGCGTCAGGGTGGGTGACCCCCCGTGGTAACGCTCGTGCCTCGCACCAAAAACATGCTGCGTTCGATTCCCGGCTCGGGCACCTTTCTGCGTGGGGTTTGTGTGTTCTCTCCCCCTGCCCCCTGCATGGACTTTCTCCTGTTTCTCCATGTGCTCCTCCCATAGCTAATGGAACACGCATAGTGTGAGCGCCAGTGGCCACACATCCCAAAGCTGAAGATTTACCTGCAAATTGCTCCATTGGGATCACGCGCAACAGCAGCAGCAGTAGAATTGCCCCACCGATTGCAAGAGCTTGGCAGGGCCCTCGTGAAAAAGTCTGGAGGCTTTCCTGGGTCAACGAGCATGAATACATACATATAATTACACCAGCACCGTTCGGGAAACCGTTGAAGGCAGACGAACTCTCTCTGATTCTGACAGCGGTGAGAAGGGGGCAAGAGGCGGAAGACACGCGTGGCCGCCGTGCACGCTGTGCCCAACGTGCCCAACGTGCCTGCCATGCCCGCTGTGCCCGCTGTGTCCGCTGTGCGAGCCATTCCCCCCCACTCAAGCCGGGTGGAACGGCGAGTGTGTGGCGTAGTAGCCGCGTGTGTTGGGGGGTGGGGGGGCACCACGAGGCTCACAACCACCCATCAACAAGCACGCCAACTTGGGATGCGCCACCTCCACCACCGCACCGCACTCGCTCGCTGTGCCAGAGCGAGAACCTCCGATGTGCACGGTTGGCTACGTACGGTGCGAAAGAAGTTCACCGTACGTACGAGAATGGCCCAGAGGCGCGCGGTGGAACCGCAGGCGGGCGGAAAGGCAGCGGCCAGGCGGGCAGCCGGTGCCCCCAAGGTCTGGCGTCCTCTCTGTATGCAGGTGTTAGCGGCCAACTAACTTGCTCACAAAAAAGTAAGAAACCGTAAAGAGAGGAAGACCTCACAGAGAATGGCTTGACGACGACGTCAGCAGTGATTGGTGCCAGAGAGCTGTGGCCACCGCTTGAGAATATTGGCACAAGACAGCGGAAAGTGGAAACAAAAGACGAACATTGTGCAGTGGACACCCACCTGGTCGTGGATTGGCCTGTCTGTGAATGAGTGTCTGTGAATGAGTGTCTGTGGGACCACGTGTGCGGTGGGTGCGAGGAGCCAGCCACCCCAATAAAGACGGTGACTGCCGTGCGTGAGAGACGACTTTGCCCATCGTCAGCCCGACTTGATGCCTCTCGTCGTCAGCATTTATCAATCGCCCCTCTGCGCAATGCCAAGAGCTGCCTCGAAGTGCTTCAGTCTCGCGCGGTCTCTTGATGCTCGGTAAGAGGGCGGGAATGGACACCGGCGGAGGCTGCGTTTAGAGCAAAAAACAAAAGACGTGTTGTTTGTGTTTTTAATTGAAGACTTCGCCGGACAACATTCCCAACATTCCGCACATTGGTCAGTGTAGATTACTCGGGCCCGCCACCCCTGCACCTTATTTACGGCTCTAAGACTGAGTGTGTTTACCTTGGACTGTGAGACTATGTTTACCTTGTGTTTACTTTGGACTTTAACACTGTGTTTACCTTGTGTTTACCTTGGACTGTAAGACAGTGTGTGTTTACCTTGGACTGTGAGACTGTGTTTACCTTGTGTTTACCTGGACTGTAACACTGAGTGTGTTTACCCTGGACTGTAAGACTGAATGTGTTTACCTTGGACTGTAGGACAGTGTGTTTACCTTGGACTGTAGGACAGTGTGTTTACCTTGGACTGTAGGACAGTGTGTTTACCTTGGAATGTAGGACTGAGTGTGTTTACCTTGGACTGTAGGACTGTGTTTACCTTGGACTGTAGGACAGTGTGTTTACCTTGGACTGTGAAACTGTGTTTACCTTGGACTGTAACACTGTGTGTTTACCTTGGACTGTACGACTGAGTGTGTTTACCTTGGACTGTAACACTGAATGTGTTTACCTTGGACTGTAGGACAGTGTGTTTACCTTGGACTGTAAGACTGAGTGTGTTTACATTGGACTGTAGGACAGTGTGTTTACCTTGGAGTGTAGGACAGTGTGTTTGCCTTGGACTGTAGGACTGAGTGTGTTTACCTTGGACTGTAGGACAGTGTGTTTACCTTGGACTGTAACACTGAGTGTGTTTACCCTGGACTGTAAGACAGTGTGTTTACCTTGGACTGTAAGACTGTGTTTACCTTGGACTGTAAGACAGCGTGTGTTTACCTTGTGCTTACCGTGGACTGTAGGACTGAGTGCGTTTACCGTGGACTGTGAGACTGATTGCCCATTGTTAACGTGGGGGAGGGGGGGGCACGCTCGGTGTACTTTGAGGCCACGCTGGAGGTCACGGGGACAGACCCAGGTGCCCTGGGTTGACTGGCTGGCAGATGCACCGACTGTGCTCCCCACTCTGCCACTTCTCTGCGCTTTGCCCACGCTAAAGTGCGTAATTATACTCACTTAATTATATCCTGATTTGGCAAAAATGTCCAATTTGCTTTACCCCAACAAAACAATAAATGTCTTAATTAGCCTCGCCAAATAATTCGTCGTCTCATTCACAAATCCCTCTCTCCGCGTGCACAAATCATTACCAAGGGTTTCCGAGACAACCCATCGGCCGCACACGCGGCCCCATCTGGGAGTCCCAGGAGTATCGACTAGCGGATCGTGCGGCGGGTGAACCGCGGGTGAACCGCGGGTGAACCGTGGGTGAACCGTGGGTGAACCGTGAGTGAACCGCGGGTGAACCGTGGGTGAACCGTGAGTGAACCGTGGGTGAACTGCGGGTGAACCGCGGGTGAACCGTGAGTGAACTGCGGGTGAACCGCGGGTGAACCGTGAGTGAACCGTGGGTGAACCGCGGGTGAACCGTGAGTGAACCGTGGGTGAACCGCGGGTGAACCGCGGGTGAACCGTGGGTGAACCGTGAGTGAACCGTGAGTGAACCGCGGGTGAACTGCGGGTGAACCGCGAGTGAACCGCAGGTGAACCGCGGGTGAACCGCGGGTGAACCGCGGGTGAACCGCGGGTGAACCGTGGGTGAACCGCGGGTGAACCGCGAGTGAACCGCGGGTGAACCGTGGGTGAACCGTGAGTGAACCGTGGGTGAACCGCGGGTGAACCGTGGGTGAACCGCGGGTGAACCGCGGGTGAACCGCGGGTGAACCGCGAGTGAACCGCGGGTGAACCGTGGGTGAACCGCGAGTGAACCGCGGGTGAACCGCGGGTGAACCGTGAGTGAACCGCGGGTGAACCGTGGGTGAACCGCGGGTGAACCGTGGGTGAACCGTGGGTGAACCGCGGGTGAACCGTGAGTGAACCGTGGGTGAACCGTGGGTGAACCGCGAGTGAACCGTGGGTGAACCGCGGGTGAACCGTGGGTGAACCGCGGGTGAACCGTGGGTGAACCGCGAGTGAACCGCGGGTGAACTGCGGGTGAACCGTGCCCGCGTGGACGGGCTACTAGGGCGCGCGCGCGCGGGCAGCCCGTGCTGAGCGGCACGCCGCTGGACGGACACTTTTATCTGCGATTGAAAACCCACCCGGGTCGGCAGTGACGGCCTTGCGGTGCACAACGAAGGAGTGCGACTGAGAGGAAACCTCTCACCACCAGACGACTAAACACTTGGCCTGGCAACGTGCCTTCCTTTCCCGCAGAGTCGTCTCTCTCTCTCTCTCTCTGTGTGTGTGTTGAACTTCTTTTGCACCTTACGCAGCTAACCGTGCTAATCGTGGGCGCGGGGGAAGGAGAACAACACTAAACACAAATAGAGTTCTACAGAAATTAGTTTTTAATCTAGACAATCATATAAAAGTGCACAGCTCCAGTGGCTTCCTAATATCGGAAGGAAGAACGTTCCAGACGGCCGCAGAAGGGCATCTAAAATCGCGCGACGCGGCGACCATCTTAGTTTGATGGCCAGCCAGGAGCCGCTGCTGCTGCGAGGATGACCGGAGTTTGCACGACGATGGGTTAATGCTCCTTGACGAGAAAAACGGAGAACCGTGGCCCCTACATCGCACGCGTGCGTTGTAGGGGCCACGGTTCACAGGTGTTCAGTCTGCAGTCGCAGCTGCCTCTCGCCCATCTCCCTCGTATCCACCGCCGTCTCTCGCCCCGCCGTCTCTCCCCCCGCCCTGTGTTTTGCTTTCAGTGCCGCGAACATGGAGGAGACTCCGGCCAGCGGCTTCCGCTCCGTGGTCGTGCCGCCGTTGCTGTTGCTGCTGCTGCTGCAGGGCGTGCCGGCACGCTGCGCCGCTCCGCGCGAGCGGCCCACGTCCTCGGTGGGCGCGGGAGGCCCAGGGGAGGTCGGCACCATCGCCGCCGCCGCAGCGCCGGAGCTGCCCATGGCCGTGTACGAGCAGAAGTACTACCTGCAGAGACTGTTCACGCGCTACGGCCAGGAGGGGCACCTCTCCCTCGACGCCCTGCAGAAGCTGCTCGTCAACCTGGGCATCGGTGAGATCCGGGTGCTCGAAGATCAGGATGAAGATCACGATCACGATGAAGATCACGATCAGGACCACGATCAGGACGACGATCAGGACAACGATCAGGACCATGACCACGATCAGGACCACGACCACGATCAGGACCACGACCGCGATCAGGACCACGACCGCGATCACGACCGCGATCGGGACGAGGGCGACGCCGGGCATCGAGCTGGCCACGACCGCCTCCCCGGGCCGGTAGGCCGCCGCAGGGGCGGCTCGTCGAGCTCCGCCGACGGCGCGGGGGACGTCGGGCCACGGACCGCGGCCCCCACGGGCGGCGCCGGGGATTGGCGAGGGCCCCCGAGAGGCGCGCCGGGAGGCGCGCCGGGAGGCGCCCGCAGCGCCCGGGAGGTGCCCCACGGCCGCGGGGCGTGGGGAGCCGCGGAGAGGCAAAGCCGGACGGCGGTCCAGGACTACCTCGCGTCGCTGGGCTTGTCGGGAGATCACGGCCACATTCACGAAGAGGTGAGATTGAATCCCCTCCTCCCCCGCCACACAAAGGGGTAGACCGCAGTTAGTGTGTCGGCAGGTCGCACGTGGCGGGGTAACGTGTGGGTACTCCCACCTCTTCCAACACATCTGGCCAGCGTGGAAGAGGAGGCCCACCATTTTGTTTTCCCCAGAGGGGCTCTCCAGGGCTCCCCCCACCAGCAGTGGAGCGATCGAGTTACTACGAGGTTGCGCCTTTACCCTTCGCAGTTTGTCGTGAGTGAGTCACACGAGTCCGCGAGTCACACGAGTCAACGAGTCAATGAGTCCGTGAGCCACACGAGTTCATCATGGTGAGCCTCCGCTGCCTGGCTGCTGGGGAACGCAGAACAGAGAGGCTTTCTGTGCAGGCTGTGGACACTGCTCCTGCAATCAACAACAAAGAATTCGAGTGAGGGCGAAGCTTTGTTTTCCCGCAAGCTCGCGGCCACCGAGTACCGAACCAACGCTGGCCAGCACGCATTCCCACAGAGGCCACGCGTCACGCGGCGGTCGCGATGCTCTCACATGATCTCCGCGTGGTCTCATGAGTTGCCGCGTCCCGAGTTCATGGGTCAGGGTCATGCATTTCAGAGCCCGACTGCTATGGAGACGCTTCATTCCCACAAAGATAACAAAGATCCCTCGTATAGCCTGTTACAGACCGTAGGGGCAAGTGCTGTTGGCGAGTAGCAGCACCTACAAAGGCTGGAACGGCACACGAGGTGGTGAGTGGCCAGCACCACGCCCGCCCGCCTTTGTCTCCCCAGTGGCAATATTTTTACACATCGCACCAGGTACTCAATTAAGGCTGAATCGACTTAGTGGAGGCCCAGGACCGGTTCAGCTAATCGTCGCCGGTGTTGGCCGTAAGCGGGAATCGAACTCGGGTCGCCGGCTTTGTAGCGCAGCGCGCTCACCGCTACGCTACCGCTTCCCAAATTCCCACACATGCACACACGTGCTTGCGTGTACTACGGCGAGGCACCCTCGATCGGGCTCCTGGTACGCGTACCGAACTCACGCCCTCAAGCTTCCCGTTGCTGTTGTTTATTCACCGCTCGCCACTCGCGTGCGACTCGTCACTCGCGTGCGACTCGTCGTTATCGTTCGGAATTGATCTCTGGGTTGGGCCACGTAATGATCCGGCCAAGACGATGTCTGTCGGGTAGACCCTTCACCGCCCGACACGGGCAGACCGAGCACGCGGTCACGTGGCGTACGAGCGCGCGTGGCTCCGTCGTGGTCGTGATGGGTCAGTTGAGTTTCAGTTCAGCTTATTGTGAAGTACCCTGTGAGCTAAGAAGAAGCTCTTGAATCGGTGTTTCACCAACAAAAGCATTGCTTCCCCGGCAAACGTAACGTACATAACAGGTCGCGAGAAAAATATAACTAAAGGAAATACATAATGCAGGAAAACAAGCGGCAGCAAATCGCGTTACGTAGAGTACCTTACAAAATTATCTTTAAGTATTTAACTAAAGTGAGGTCGCGCTCGCCCATCGTCGGTCGAGGTCGCGTGCCGTCGAGTCGGAGGGCGGCTCTCACGCCGCCGCCACCGCCTCCCACCGGTGCGCGCCGTGGTGTCTCGCGTGACCCGGCCTCGCCGCGGCGTCTCACGTGACCCGGCCTCGCCGTGGTGTCTCGCGTGACCCGGCCTCACCACAGTGTCTCACGTGACCCGGCCTCGCCGTGGTGTCTCACGTGACCCGGCCTCGCCATGGCATCTCGCGTGCGCCTGCAGTGCATGAACATCACCACGCTGCTGTGGAACTACGGCATGTCGTCGGCTTCCGGCGTCAACCAGGACCAGTTCATCTTCCTGTGCCCGGCGATGCTGTACCAGATCGACAGCCGCGTCTGCGTCAAGCAGCAGCACGACCGCCACGGCACGAGCGGCGCCGCCACCGCGCCCGACACTGGTGAGGAGCGGCGCGTTACGGGAAGAGATTCTTATTTGACCGTGCTTCACGCTGGTGTCGGTGAAGGTGGGGAGCATAGCTGTCGGTGCATAGAACAGTACAACGGCGTGCAGTTTTACTGCGCTCCCCACTCCTGACAAGATAGCGCAGCGGCGCCGGCCTCCAGTGTGTGCGTGTTCATGGCTGGCGGCCGCCCGTCCACACGCCGGCCAGGCCCGGGCCTGCTTGGCTTCCGGGCGCACTCCGCTGGCACGGTGCCGGCGTGAGCGTCGCTTACAAGGCAACGCGAGGCTTTCGGGTGCTGCTCAAGTGGAACGAGGAGTCGACGCGGTCATGGGCGACGGTGCGATGTGAGCATGGTGGGGAGAGCGGTGGGGAGAGCGGTGGGGAGAGCGGTGGGGAGAGTGGTGGGGAGAGCGGTCGGTGGGGAGAGCGGTGGAGAGTGCGGTGGGGAGAGCGGTGGAGAGAGCGGTGGGAGAGCAGTGGGGAGAGCGACGCGTCCGCGTTTGACGTCCGCTCGGTGGGGCAGGTGCGGCCGCCTGGGGCTGGGGCTTCTTGGCCATCACGGCCATCTCGCTGCTCTCCCTGCTGGCCGCCGCCTTCATCCCGGCCCTGTCACCCGACGCGCTGTCCAGCATCCTGGGCTTCCTGGTGGCACTGGCCGTCGGGACCTTGAGCGGCGACGCCCTGCTGCACCTGCTCCCCCACGTGAGGGCCCCCCCCCCTCCCTACCCCCCCCCACCCCCCCTGCCCCCCCACCCCTCCCCACCTCCCCTACTCCCCCTACCCCACCCCCGCCCCCCCTACCCCCCTATCCCTCTCTCCTCTCCACGTACACAGTCCCCACCGACGGTCGCATCGCATCGATGACCTTCCGCAGCCGTGATCGTCGGTAGCTGCGATCAAGGCTTAACGTCGCCCGGGTCACGGCCTAACCCAGGCCAAGTCCCTCCTGCGAGCTCCGAGCACGACCGGCTCGGAGCACTTAGCTGCGAGTCGCCCGGCCACCATCCTGGCTCGGGGCTTCGAATCCCCGACTGGGGCTTGGCAAAACGCCGGCGTCCCTTCCTCCCCGACGCCGTCGCGCACCGAGCCGAGCGCCTCCCTGAAGGCGGCGCGTCGCGGTGCTGCGGGGCTGCAGGCGCAGGGCGGAGGACACGGCCACGAGCCGGGAGGCGCCGGCGGGGACTGGGCGAGCGGCCTGGTCGAGCGGCTGCTGCCGCTGGGCAAGGGGATGGTGGCGCTCGGAGGCGTCTACCTTATGTTCCTCCTCGAGAGTCTGCTGCCCCTGCTGCGCGTCCGGCGTGGACAGAAGGCAAGCCACCCGGTGCGCGCGTCCGTCGTGCGGGTCCGTCCCGCGGGTCCGTGCCGCGTGTCTGTCCCACGTGCGTGCATGTTTGGGGACACGCCTGTTGCAATAATAATAATTACTTATGTACCCACGCCGAGTCCAGAGGTTATTTTCAGGGGGGCCCTGCATCCCGTCAGCCACATGGCCTCCTGGGAGTGACATTTTTCAGCAGCATTGGTTCAAGTCGGGACCAGTTTCAACATTCGGCGTCTCATCAGCAGTCAGGCTTGCCTGAACCAGTGCTGCTGATAGGCGAGGACGCTCTCTCGAGTGGATGTGGGTCCTCGTGGAGAGGCCCCTGTGCCGAGGCGGCGTGTTGCTCAAGTTTGCTTTTTTACAAGGTGACACTATTTATGTTGTCGTGAATAATGGCACCGGAGTTCACCCCTGCCTGGCGGCAGGGAACGTGTAGACAGCCGGGTTGCACGGTAATGACGTGACGCCGTGGTGATGACGTCATGGTGATGTCGTCGTGGTGATGACGTCGTGGTGATGACGTCGTGGTGATGATGCCGTGGCGATGACGCCGTGGTGATGACGACGTGGTGATGACGTCGTGGTGATGACGTCGTGATAATGACGTCGTGGCGATGATGTCGTGGTGATGACGACGTGGTGATGACGTCGTGGTGATGATGCGGTAGTGATGACGCGGTGGTGATGACGTCGTGGTGATGACGTCGTGGTGATGACGTCGTGGCGATGACGCCGCCGCTGTGTCCTTGCAGAAGAGAGAGGCCCGGGAGGCGTGCGAGGGAGGAGAGAAGGAGGCGCCGCCCTGCGAGGAGTTGGAGCTCAAAGTTGACGCAGGTGAGGAGAGTTGTTGGAGGCTGCCAATGGTGGTGAGCGGGGAATGATGGCGGTGGCCGGTACCGCGGCTGGCGGGTGATGGTGGGCGGGTGGTGGGCGGGTGATGGTGGGCGGGTGGTGGGCGGGTGGTGGGCGGGTGGTGGGCTGGTGATGGTGGCGGTGGGCGAGTTTCTTGCTCGGTTCAACAAAGCGTTATGCCCCTCATCCACGTACGACTTTGACGGTGCCGATTGTCGCTGGTGGCCTGACGTTTTGGGCCTTTGGATCTGCAGCCAGGTGTTTTAAATCAGAAATATTCCCTTTCATTTCACGCCGGTGATTGCAAACACACCGGGAAATATGCAACGGGCGCTTGTGCCCGCGTGACGTTTCGGTTCACTGGGCTGTGTGGGGCGCTGGAGGTGAGGGTCAGGGTTACGAATAGGCGTAGTGCGGACCGGATCTGATCGAAAAGAAACCAATTATGAATTGTATTCAGGTCCCGCTGAGCAACGAAAACGTCCCCGCGGCCGATCAGATTACCAACACGCAGAGATGCCCCCCTTGCACGTGGCGACGGCTCTCGGCCGTGCGCAAAGCCACCGCTGCGCAAGAACTGCATTGCGGTCATTCCATTTGTGGCTCCGTCGCTTCCGTCCTGCGCCGGGCGCCGCTCTCGGCCCTGCGCCACGCACGCGGCCACCTCTGATCCCCGGCGCATCTCCCAGCGCACCAGTCGGGCGGCGGCCACGCGGAGGAGGTGTCGCGAGAGGACCGGGACCCGGACCGTCGCCACGAGGGCCGTGCCCACGGCGGGGGCCTCGGTCAGCACCGCGGGCACTCGCACGCGCCCCCCGGCGGGGCGGGACACGTCGGCAACATCGCCTGGATGGTCATCATGGGCGACGGCCTCCACAACTTCACCGACGGCCTCGCAATCGGTACGTCCGCGCGTGTGTGTGCGTGTGTGTGCACGTGAGTGTTTGAACATGTTATTTGGTGTTTGAATATCTTAACACCTGCTGTTTTATTCCCATAAAGGGTAAACCCTTCATACTTACGTGGGTGTGTGCATCTGCCAGTCAACTCGGTCAACCCACGGCACCTGGGTCTGTCCCGTGACCTCCTGCCAGCGAAGCCTTCGACACTTCACGTGACCTCTAAGCGCACCTAGCCTGGCACTAGCGCCGTGGTGACTTCGCCACGGCTCGATGGCAAATGGCGACCATCGTCGTCGTCCTTGGCGTCGTCCTTGTTGTCGTCATTGTTGTCGTCGTCATCGTCGTCGTTGTCGTCGTTGTTGTCGTTGTCTTCGTTGTTGTCGTTGTTGTCGTTGTTGTCGTCGTCGTTGCTGTGCGAGTGGCTGACGTGGTGCCCGCACCTTGGCAGGGGCGGCGTTCAGCAGCAGCGTCACGGTGGGGCTCAGCACCTCCATCGCCGTGCTCTGCCACGAGGTCCCCCACGAGCTCGGTGAGACAACCCCCCCACCCTCCCACCCTCTCACGCCCCCCCCACCCTCCCACCCTCCCACGCCCCCCCACCCTCCCACGCCCCCCCCACCCTCCCACCCTCTCACGCCCCCCCCACCCTCCCACCCTCCCACACCCCCTCCACTCCCCGCACTCTCCACCCCCCCACCCCCCCCACTCCCCACCTCGTCACCCCAACTCGAGCCCCCCCAGCAGGGCTCCTCGGCCCTCTCGCGCCTCTCTCCCTGCAGGCCCCGGCGTCCTTGAGCCGCTCACGGAGCGTGGAACTCCCTCCTCCACCTTCTTTGTCTATGTGCCCCCCCCTCGTTATCACCCCCCCCCTCGTCATCACCCCCCCCCCCCCCCCCAGGTGACTTTGCGGTGCTGCTGCGGGCCGGGATGTCTCTGCGCCGGGCGGTCTCCTACAACCTCCTGTCGGCGCTGCTCGGCTACCTGGGCATGGCCATCGGCGTGGCCGTGGGCCGCCACCTCCACTCCTTCACCCTCTGGATCTTCGCGCTCACCGCGGGCTGCTTCCTCTACGTGGCGCTCGTCAGCATGGTACGGGCTCGGGGGGGGGGGGGGGGCGGTGGCCGGGCGGCTCGCGGCGGCAGAGCGAGCGGCTCGAGGTCGGAAGGTCGTGAGTTCGCATCCTGGCCGGGGGGAGGGGGGGCGGGGTGACTCGGTCGATCGTCGTCCCCCGCGTCACCCTCGCCAGAGACTTCTCCGGTCTCTCTCGAGCTCTCGCCTGGTCAGAGAGCACCACGTCGTGGAGAGCGGTCGTCCCACGGAGAGACTCGCCTCTGCCATAGCAACGTGGAGTTCCCACCACTGGGTCTGCAGGGCTGTAAAGCAGGAGATGAGCGCCAATGTCTGGACCCTGAGCAGGGATACCCCCCCACCCCGACCCCGGTGCAGCAGGGGTCCTGTCGTGGGACCGGCAGGGCAGCGCGAGCAGGAGCTCCTGCCACCGCCTGGTTGGCGCGGAGCGAGCTGTTGCTGTGGTCGGTCGCCGCCTGCTCCCGCGCCGCCGTGTGGGAAGGGGACGACGGCGTTGTCACTGCTCCTATCGTCGTCGCACCGCCGTCATATCGTCGCCGCACGAATGACGACGATCGAAGGCGGCAGTGAAGTGCCGCCCCCGTAGCCAGACCGGCAGGACTGCGGCTCGTGCCGTGGCGGCCGTCGCGAGGCGGTGGCCGCAGGGCCACGCCGCTGGGCCACGCTGCCGGGCCACCACCCCGAGAGAGGCCAAAATGGAAAAACGCCGTTCACTTGATAACAACAACAATAACGGCAACAACAATGACCTATTTACCTGGTCAAACATTCTAGTGCAGCTGGCATGCTTTGGCTGTGGGGGTAGGGAAGCAGAGGAGAGACCCGTGCGGAAGAGGAGAACACGTATGGCTATGTACGGTTCATCGTGGATACACCACGCGCCCTCGGCGTGGACGTGAGGGAGAGCCGCAAAGGGGGGAGCGGGCCCCGTTCCATCAACTGTGAACCTCCAGCGCCATCTAACGTCTCGCGCGAGCACAACACAGCGCCCTGTTGGTACAAAACACAGCGCCCTGTTGGTACAAAACAGCATTCCTAGCGTGACTTTGGTGGAATCGGCGCGTGTCATCTCCTGTTTTCTTTGCCGGCTGCCCTGCGAATTCTCCGTCGGCTTAGATCCAACGCGGCCCCACGGATCTCTCCCCCCCACTCCCACCCCCCCCGCTCCCAGCCCTCCCACCCCTGGCTCTCCCTTTCCCGTGGCCCCCTCCGTGGCAACCCCAGCTGCAACAAATCCCTGCCCCCCCCCCCCGCTCTCACGGCCACCCCCACCCTGTGAGATTCCACCGCCGTGAGACGGTGCCGCGAATCCGTCGCGCTGAAATATTTGCCGAGAAACGCGGAGCTTGGGGGGGGGGCGCGGTGCAGAGATCGCTCACCCCCCCCCCACCCCCCACTCGGGCGAATGTCTCGCTGCGGAGTTTGTGCGTTCTCTCTCTGTCTCTCTCTCTCTGTCTCTCTCTCTCTGTCTCTCTCTCTCTGTCTCTCTCTCTGTGTCTCTCTCTCTTTCTTTTTACGATCAGTGGAAACAAGAAGATGCTCGGTGTAGTCGGCACTTTGCTTCGTTCATCATTTCGTAATTTTTTTTTTTATAGCTTTGCTTTATGTAAACCCCCACCTCTCGCTTACTCTCTCGCTCACTCTCTCGCTCACTCTCTCGCTCACTCTCTCGCTCATTCTCTCGTTCTGCACGCAGCCCTTCTCGCAGTCCAACGGCCTCCGATGGGTAGCTCATGTCAGCATGCAGAGCTCCCCATCATCTGCCACCGAGCACATGGCCTCCTCCATCGCCCACTGCTCCTTGAAGTCCGGCACGGCGTGGGTCAGCCGCGCATGGCGGAACTCCAGCCACACCCTGGCTCCGACCAGAGCGCAGAAGGTGCCCAGGCTGCTGGCCGGTCGTTTCCCCTCCAGGGCCACCTTCCTCACCCTGTATACGGCGAGCTTGGCATAGCCGACGAGCACGTTGACCAGCCCCTGAAGATGTTGGGGTCCGTCGCCCTTTTGGTATCCCAAGATGAGGACCGTCGGGGAGAAGTGGAGGCTGAACCTTAGGAGGATGTTTTTGAGGACCTTGAACAACAAGTCCAGGCTCTTGCACTCCACGTATTGGTGCGCCACCGTCTCCACTTTACCGCAGAACCGGCACTCCGGGGACGTGTCGGTGAAGCGCGCCAGGGAGGCGTTGATGGTGACGGTGCCGTGGGCAATGCTCCAGCTGAGGTCACCGATGCGGTTGTACGTCGGGCTTGAGTAGAGTTGCCTCCAGCGAGGCCTCTCCGGAGAGATGCAGGGCAGGGCTTTCCTCCAGGCATGGTCCTTGTGGTTCCTCAGGGTGTCCTGTTGGTGAAACCGGACCATGTAGGAGTAGAGCACCTTTCTCTTTACATTTGCGAAGGCCACCTCCAGTAGGTCTCTCAGCCGGCACAGGTTGTGATCCGCCTTCGCTTGTCGGCATTGGCGATGCAGTGGCACAATGGAGAGCTCCGGTGGAGGGGGACCGAGAGGGGCCTCGTCATCCCCAACGCCGATGGGGGGTGTTCTCCCCGCTGCCGCTGAGAAGGCTCCCTTGGCTTCGGCCAGGATCCGGGCAGCCACCCGGAGTGACTGCAGCCCCCCGTCTTTGCGGCCATGTCTGCTGGTCCGAGCCACCGGCCCCGTGTTCCAGGCTCCACCAGATCTCCCATCCTGGTGAGCCGCGCATTGCTGAGGCGCCTCTCCATGCCGGGGGTGGCGGTGGTGGATGGCAGCTTTGTCTGCGGGTTCCTGAGGATCGGTTCGAAGACCAGATCTTCGGCCGATCGCGGTTGGTTCAGCCTCCTGACGGCGAGGGAGCTCCATGTCTGCAGGACGCTCCTGTAGAAAGATGGCAGCTGTCCCAGTGGGAGGCCCTGCAGGTCCAAGTAGAATAGTTGTTTGGAGCACTGCAGACCCCCCAGCTGTTTCAGGAGGAAGGAGGCCGTGACGCTCCAGGCCGGCGCAGGGGCGGCGTGCAGGAACTTGTGTGCGGCCTGCAGTCGGAAGGTGGCAAGCTGACTCCGCACGCACAGCGGCCCGTGACCGCCCTCGTCCAGTGGCAGCGCCAGGACCCCAGCCGCGACCCGGTGTCCTCCGCCCGACCAGAAGAAGTCGAGGACTCGCTTCTGAAGCGCGTTGACGAGGCTCATGGGGGGGGGGGGGTGCAGGGAGAAGAGTCGGTGCCACAGCATGGACGTCTGTCTCTGTCTCTCTCTGTCTCTCTCTGTCTCTCTCTGTCTCTCTCCGCCCCCTGTTCCGAGTGGGGGGTTCTCTCCGGGTTCTCCGCTTGTCTCCCACCCGCGGCTAGAAACGCGCAATTTTTGGCGGCGGTGATGGCCACACATCTCAGCCGCAGCGAGACCCGCCTCGAACACAGACTGGGGGTGTGGGCCTTCCCATGTCCACTCTGCCACTCACCTCGCCCTTCTCACGCTCGCCTCGCCCTTCTCACGCTCACCTCGCTGGGGGTTACCCCCGGCTCGTGGCGGGTGACGGTGGCAGGGAGGTGCGCACCACGAGTTGCCCAACCCTTGCCAGCCTCCTCCCGCCTTGCTGCCACTTTCACCCTGAGCCCCCCCCCCCTACTGAGTCCCCCCCCCTACTGAGTCCCCCCCCCTACTGAATTCCCCCCACTGAGCCCCCCCACTGAGCCCCCCCACTGAGCCCCCCCACCACTGAGCCCCCCCCCCAACTGAGCCCCCCCACTGAGCCCCCCCACTGAGCCCCCCCCCCACTGAGCCCCCCCACCCCAAGCAGAGCCGCCCCCTCCCCCTGGCCCTCGCGGCTCGCCCCGGGGTCAGGGGGGGTGCAGGGGGAGGGGTGGTGGGGGAGGGGTTGGCGGGGGCTGCTTGGGGAGTTGAGGAGGTGGGTTGGAGGGAGGGGTGTGGGGGTTGGTGAGGGAGGGGTGAGGGGGGTTGGTGAGGGAGGGATGGGTGTGAGGGGTTGGTGAGGGGTGTGGGGGGTTGGTGAGGGAGGGGTGTGGGGGTTGGTGAGGGAGGGGTGTGGGGGTTGGTGAGGGAGGGGTGAGGGGGGTTGGTGAGGGAGGGATGGGTGTGAGGGGTTGGTGAGGGGGGGGTGAGGGGGGTTGGTGAGGGGTTGGTGAGGGGGGGGTGTGGGGGGTTGGTGAGGGAGGGGTGAGGGGGTTTGGATGAGGGAGGGATGGGTTAGAGGGGTTGGTGAGGGGGGGGTGAGGGGGGTTGGTGAGGGGTTGGTAAGGGGGGGGTGTGGGGAGTTGGTGAGGGAGGGGTGTGGGGGGTTTGTGAGGGAGGGGTGAGGGGGGTTGGTGAGGGAGGGGTGAGGGGTGTGAGGGGTTGGTGAGGGGGGGGTGTGGGGGGTTGGTGAGGGGGGGGGGTGTGGGGGGTTGGTGAGGGGGGGTGTGGGGGGTTGGTGAGGGGGGGGTGAGGGGGGTTGGTGAGGGAGGGGTGAGGGGTGTGAGGGGTTGGTGAGGGGGGGGGGGTGTGGGGGGTTGGTGAGGGGGGGGTGTGGGGGGTTGGTGAGGGGGGGGGGGTTGCGATGTCCGCGTTGTTTGTTTTGCTTGAGGTGGTCCCCGCCGGGACACTAAGAATGGGAAACTCGCCGCGTGTTCTCCCGAGTTGTGTTTACAGGTGGCGACAGTTTCGCGAGCGGAAAGGTGATGTCATTGCGCAAGATCAGCCGCGTGCTCGGGAGATTGTTTTATTATTATTGCAACGAACTTGGAACCCCAGTCGGAAAATGTAACTCCACGTGAGAACAATGATTGAACAATGATTGTACAATTATTGTACAATGATAGCGCAGCGCGCTAAACACTACACTACCGCTCCCCACACTCATACACGCACACACAGACACATACACGCTCTCGCACACACACACACTCATACACACGCTCTCTCACGCACGCGCACGCACACACACATGCTCTCACACACACACTCACATGCTCTCATACGCACGCACGGATGTGCACGCACACACATTCTCACACGCGCACACACATTCTTGCACACACGCACACACATTCTCGCACACACGCAAACACGCACATGCAACAACATCAACCGCCATTCGCCACTAAGTAGCGGGTGTAGTCACCACGACGCTTGTGCAGGCTATGTGCACCTTGAGGCCATGTGAAGTGTCGAACGCCCGCTGGCAGGAGGTCACGGGGCAGACCCAGATGCCACAGGTCGACTGACTGAGATAACTGGCTGATGCACCACCTGTGCCCCCTACTGTGCCAACTTGCTGTGCTTTAGCCACCCGGCGCTCCGCTCTTTGTTGTGAGCGTCACTCCTCCGCCCTCCGTTGTTGTTGGAGGGCGACTGCCTCCAACTGCCCAGTAGCATCCTTCACGAGCCTCCTCCACAGAGGCCGATCTTGACACCGCTGGTACCAGTCATCGGCAAGTCCACTCCACATCCTCCTGTACCACATCACTCCATCTCTCCTCTAGCCCGTGCCGCGCCTGGTTAAACCCAGGATGGATAGTAGGCAGGCCAGCCTAAATGTTTCTAACCGGCGAAGATCTTCCATTAGGGGGGTCCACGTTTCGCAAGCGTAGAGAAGGGAGGGAATGACCGTGGCCGAGAAGACCTGAAGCTTCGTGCAGAGTGATAGACCAGGTAGCTTCCACACAGCGTTACGCAACCAATGAAAAGATAATGCCGCTCGACTGATTCGGAGTGAGACCTCTGCTGTTAAACCGGAGCCGGTCATGAGCACACTGCCCAGGTATGGGAAACTCTGCACTCTCTCCACAACTGCCCTATCAGCAATTGGGAGTTGTGGGGGTGGAGTGTCCGATGGTACAAAATACCGAGGCAGGTGCTTAGTTTTGGTGGGGCTGATGGTAAGGCCCCACCTCTTGGTGGCAAGCTCCAGGTTCAGCAGCAGCGCTTCCAACTCATCCTCTGAGTGAGCAGCAATTACCAGATCATCAGCATACATAACGTGGTTGAGCTGCAGGGAGCCATCCCTTGACCACACCCGGGCATCGATCAGCCTCCCATTGTATCTGTACCAAATGGAAATTCCTCTGTTACAGCTATTAAAGGCTTCACGAACTACGTGGTAAAAATAGATGTTAAATAATGTGGGAGCCAGAGGACATCCCTGTCACACCCCAAGGTGTACAGGGAATGGCTCTGACTCCCGGCCATGTAGTTTTACCCAGGCCCGCTCACCATCATGAAGGTCCTTAATGATCGTGAGCAGAGGGTCAGGGACTCCGAAAGCATGAAGAACAACCCAGAGCCCAGGCCTATTGATGGTATCATAGGCCTTGACCAGGTCAATAAAGCAGAGATGTAGGTCTTGTTGGAATTCCCTACACCTCTGCTGTAGCAGACGGACAGAAAATATGGCATCTGTGCAGGACCACCCTTTCCTGAAACCGCATTGGGGCTCCGCAAGCCTCTCCTCAGCGTGGCTAGCAAGGCGATGTTGAATAATCCTTGCCAGGAGCTTTCCCGGCACACTGAGGAGTAAGAAGCCCCTGTAGTTGTTACAGGGCATCCTTCCAATCCTGTGGAACCTGTCCAGTGGTCCAGACTGTTGTTATGATGTCATGTAGGGCAGTCTGTACACAAACGCCACCCTCCCTCAGCATTTCGCTTGGGAGATCATCTCTGCCCGGTGCCTTTCCTGGTCTCAGACTCTGGATCGCCTTCAGTATTTCCTCAACAGATGGCACCTCAGCCAGCCACTCACAGATGGTGACTTCCTCCTCCAATATTTGAGGCAACGCAGCCTCAGCAGGGTCATCCCCACTTTGTCCCATGTTGTTTTCCTGGCTGAGGTTTTTCCCCTCCCTCAGGACCTCACAGAAATGCTCAGGAAATCTGCAAACCTATTCCTGGAGGTCGGAGATTGGATAACCGTTCTTTCCCCTCATGATGGTAATAGGTGTGGCGCTGCAGGTTACTTTTTTGATGGAATTAAAGAGCGATTTGTGATCACGGGCCACTGAGGCAGACTCCATGTCCTCAGCAACCCGCGACTACCACCCATCCTTGTAGCGCCTCATGGCTCTCCGAACCTCCGAGCGAAGGCTGCGGTAAGCATCCTCATTCTCCGACGTGGGATGCTGTAGCCGATGAGAGTGGGCCTGTCGCTTTTTCTCAGGAAGCTTGACCACCTCCTCTGTCAGCCAGGGTCTCTGGGGAGGGCTGCACCGTGTACCCACAGCTCCCGCTCCCCCTGCGTGCCACTCAGTGGTTCCCCCCTCTGCCTAGGGAGTCGTCCACTCCGGTCCAGGTCTTCGGATCTCGCGACGGTGAGCGGAATGGCGCGTTCTCTTGTACAATGAATGCGCATTGCTTGGACTCGGCTGTAATGAGCCCTAGGGGCTGGATCTCTTTTTCCAGCAAGCACCACGTGCTTCCATCACATTCGTGTGTGTGTGTATAACAAGGCCTTGACAAACTCTGTGATGAAGAAGATTGTTTTTGTTGCTTTCAAGTTGTGCTCCCTAGTTTTGATCAACTGCAGGATGTTCCCAGCTGCTGCTGCTGCTGCTTCTTGTGTCGCGTCGTCCTCGCCGAGACGCCGGCGGTGACTCGCGCGTCGGACGGAGCTCCGCCTGCCACTCTCCTCGTGTCGGAGCGACCGCCTCAAGGACGCGGCGCCCCGTGCCGGGGGGTGACCCCGGAACCCCGAGTGGGCGATGCCACCTGGGGACCTTGTAGTTCCCACCAGCGCCACAGCTGAGGCCCCGCTGTGGGACAGGGGGGGTCAGTTATTGGTGAGGTCGCAGAGAGGGTCTACGGCTCGTGACTGAGGCGCGATGGCCCCGGCAAAGGCCGACTCTGATGCTGATGCTGAGAGACCGAATGTCGACACCGGCTCGTAGTTTGCATTGCACCGACGCGCTCCCAGAAGGCCGCGTGGAAGGGGGGGGGGGCGTCTTGCCTGCTCGTGAATGTTGTGGCTTTTATTCTGCACGACGACGCCCACGGCAGCTCCTCGCTGCAGCGAGAGGTCATCCGCCCTGACGCTGCCGCCGCTGCTACCCCCCCTCACCCCCCCCCCCCTCTCGTTTCCGCCGCCCGCAGCTCCCGGAGCTTCGCGCCGACGGCCGCGGGCCCAGGGGCCTCGGCCACTTCCTGCTGCAGAACGCCGGCCTCCTCCTCGGCTTCGCCATCATGTTCCTCATCGCCCTCTTCGAGGACAGCATCGCGCTCAGCCTCAGCTTCTAGGCCGCAGCGGCAGCAGGGGCCGGGGAGCGCCTTCGCTTGCACATCGGCAACGCACGTTGTGGTTGTTGTGGTTGTTGTCGTGGTTGTTGCGGTTGTTGTCGTGGTTGTTGTTGTCGGGTGTTACACATCCCATCGACCGCACCCCGGCGGTATCCGAATGGCCGAGCCCCGTTCGAGCCTCGGACGCAGAAGGCGTCACGTGACGCCTGTGGGACGCGAGTGTCACGTGACGCCTGTGGGACGCGGGCGACCGGCGCGTGACTCCGTCGGCGTCCCAGCGGCACGAGGCGCCGCCGCCTCGCGGCGAGATCGCGGTGGACGCTCAAGAGCAACTTGAGGGAGCGATTGGTGCGGCACGCGGCGAGAGAGTGGGGCTCGCTCGCTCACGGGGGGGGGGGGGGGGGGAGCGGCGCGCCACGTGCTGCCATCTCTGTTGCCCTTCATCTCACCGGCTGAGCCCAACCACCTGACCTTTGAACCCTGTGTTCCCTTGGAGGTCTGTGAGCGCGTGAAAGTGTGTGAGTGTGACTGCGCGTCCACGTGTGTGAGTGTGAGTGCGTGAGTGTGAGTGCGTGAGTGAGTGCGTGAGCACGTGCACGAGCGTGTGAGCGCGCATGTGAATATGTGCCCACGTGGAGAGCGGTGGCGCAGTGGTTAGCGCGCTGCGCTACGATCCCGGCGACTCGAGCACGATTCTCGCTCACGACCGACAACGGTGGTGAAAATTTTGTCCGTCCTGGGCCTCCCCTAGGTCGACTCAACTTTAAACGAAAACCCGGTGCGGTGTGTAAACATCAGCACTGGTGCTGGCCTCACCACCTCCTTGCGTGCCGATCCGGCTTTAATAGGTGCTCGCTAACAGCATTTGCCCCAGCAGTCTGTGAAAGGCTGTACGGGCATCTGTGTCTCTTTCTTGTGTGTGCACCTGACAGTATTTCGGGTGCTGCAGTTGCTGTCAAATCGCGGCAACCCGTTCCTTTTAGCCTCGCCGAGAAAATTGTTTACGTAACATTTTATGCAGCTGAGCAATGTCATTATATTGAAGATAATGGTGAAGTATCACGTTTAATTTAGCTTAATGATGCCATCACTTGTTAAGTATTAATGTTAACATTGCTATTCCAAGATTGTGGTCGTGAGATTTACACACAAACAGAAAAGCCATGGTGTTTTTATATTGTCCTTAATTCAATTCAAAATAATTCAATTCACAATGTTTACCGTCTACGTTACGCTGATTATAATGAGTCATTGCCGTCTTTCAGATGCAGCGGATATGTACCTGGGCCTGATGCCTAAGACAATTAAAACTCAATGACGCGTCACGTATCCACGCGCTGTGTGTGCTACTCCACCATCGCGTAACGAACACACCGTGATACTAGAACCCAGCCTGTGATACTAGAACCCAGCCTGTGATGTTAGAACCCAGCCTGTGTTACTAGAACCAGCCTGTGATACTAGAACCCAGCCTGTGATGTTAGAACCCAGCCTGTGATACTAGAACCCAGCCTGTGATACTAGAACCCAGCCTGTGACACTAGAAACCAGCCCGTGATACCAGAACCCAGCCTGTGATGTTAGAACCCAGCCTGTGATGTTAGAACCCAGCCCGTGACACTAGAACCCAGCCTGTGATGTTAGAACCCAGCCCGTGACACTAGAACCCAGCCTGTGATGTTAGAACCCAGCCCGTGACACTAGAACCCAGCCTGTGATGTTAGAACCCAGCCTGTGATGTTAGAACCCAGCCCGTGACACTAGAACCCAGCCTGTGATGTTAGAACCCAGCCTGTGATGTTAGAACCCAGCCTGTGACACTAGAACCCAGCCCGTGATACTAGAACCCAGCCCGTGACACTAGAACCCAGCCTGTGATACTAGAACCCAGCCTGTGATACTAGAACCCAGCCTGTGACACTAGAACCAGCCTGTGATGTTAGAACCCAGCCTGTGATACTAGAACCCAGCCCGTGACACGAGAACCCAGCCCATGATACTAGAACCCAGCCTGTGACACTAGAACCCAGCCTGTGACACTAGAACCCAGCCTGTGATGTTAGAACCCAGCCTGTGATGTTAGAACCCAGCCTGTGACACTAGAACCCAGCCTGTGATACTAGAACCCAGCCTGTGATACTAGAACCCAGCCTGTGACACTAGAACCAGCCTGTGATACTAGAACCCAGCCTGTGACACTAGAACCAGCCTGTGATACTAGAACCCAGCCTGTGACACTAGAACCCAGCCTGTGATACTAGAACCCAGCCTGTGACACTAGAACCAGCCTGTGATACTAGAACCCAGCCTGTGATGTTAGAACCCAGCCTGTGACACTAGAACCAGCCTGTGATACTAGAACCCAGCCTGTGACACTAGAACCCAGCCTGTGACACTAGAACCCAGCCTGTGATACTAGAACCCAGCCTGTGACACTAGAACCCAGCCTGTGACACTAGAACCCAGCCTGTGTTACTAGAACCCAGCCTGTGATACTAGAACCCAGCCTGTGATACTAGAACCCAGCCTGTGTTACTAGAACCCAGCCTGTGTTACTAGAACCCAGCCTGTGTTACTAGAACCCAGCCTGTGATACTAGAACCCAGCCTGTGATACTAGAACCCAGCCTGTGATGTTAGAACCCAGCCTGTGATACTAGAACCCAGCCTGTGATACTAGAACCCAGCCTGTGATACTAGAACCCAGCCTGTGTTACTAGAACCCAGCCTGTGTTACTAGAACCCAGCCTGTGTTACTAGAACCCAGCCTGTGATACTAGAACCCAGCCCGTGATGTTAGAACCCAGCCCGTGATACTAGAACCCAGCCTGTGATACTTGAACCCAGCCTGTGATGTTAGAACCCAGCCTGTGACACTAGAACCCAGCCTGTGATACTAGAACCCAGCCTGTGATACTAGAACCCAGCCTGTGACACTAGAACCAGCCTGTGATACTAGAACCCAGCCTGTGACACTAGAACCAGCCTGTGATACTAGAACCCAGCCTGTGACACTAGAACCCAGCCTGTGATACTAGAACCCAGCCTGTGACACTAGAACCAGCCTGTGATACTAGAACCCAGCCTGTGATGTTAGAACCCAGCCTGTGACACTAGAACCAGCCTGTGATACTAGATCCCAGCCTGTGATACTAGAACCCAGCCTGTGACACTAGAACCCAGCCTGTGATACTAGAACCCAGCCTGTGACACTAGAACCCAGCCTGTGACACTAGAACCCAGCCTGTGATACTAGAACCCAGCCTGTGACACTAGAACCCAGCCTGTGATACTAGAACCCAGCCTGTGATACTAGAACCCAGCCTGTGACACTAGAACCCAGCCTGTGACACTAGAACCCAGCCTGTGTTACTAGAACCCAGCCTGTGATACTAGAACCCAGCCTGTGATACTAGAACCCAGCCTGTGTTACTAGAACCCAGCCTGTGTTACTAGAACCCAGCCTGTGTTACTAGAACCCAGCCTGTGATACTAGAACCCAGCCTGTGATACTAGAACCCAGCCTGTGATGTTAGAACCCAGCCTGTGATACTAGAACCCAGCCTGTGATACTAGAACCCAGCCTGTGATACTAGAACCCAGCCTGTGTTACTAGAACCCAGCCTGTGTTACTAGAACCCAGCCTGTGTTACTAGAACCCAGCCTGTGATACTAGAACCCAGCCCGTGATGTTAGAACCCAGCCCGTGATACTAGAACCCAGCCTGTGATACTTGAACCCAGCCTGTGATGTTAGAACCCAGCCTGTGACACTAGAACCCAGCCTGTGATACTAGAACCCAGCCTGTGATACTAGAACCCAGCCTGTGACACTAGAACCAGCCTGTGATACTAGAACCCAGCCTGTGACACTAGAACCAGCCTGTGATACTAGAACCCAGCCTGTGACACTAGAACCCAGCCTGTGATACTAGAACCCAGCCTGTGACACTAGAACCAGCCTGTGATACTAGAACCCAGCCTGTGATGTTAGAACCCAGCCTGTGACACTAGAACCAGCCTGTGATACTAGATCCCAGCCTGTGATACTAGAACCCAGCCTGTGACACTAGAACCCAGCCTGTGATACTAGAACCCAGCCTGTGACACTAGAACCCAGCCTGTGACACTAGAACCCAGCCTGTGTTACTAGAACCCAGCCTGTGATACTAGAACCCAGCCTGTGATACTAGAACCCAGCCTGTGTTACTAGAACCCAGCCTGTGTTACTAGAACCCAGCCTGTGTTACTAGAACCCAGCCTGTGATACTAGAACCCAGCCTGTGATACTAGAACCCAGCCTGTGATGTTAGAACCCAGCCTGTGATACTAGAACCCAGCCTGTGATACTAGAACCCAGCCTGTGATACTAGAACCCAGCCTGTGTTACTAGAACCCAGCCTGTGTTACTAGAACCCAGCCTGTGATACTAGAACCCAGCCTGTGACACTAGAACCCAGCCTGTGACACTAGAACCCAGCCTGTGATACTAGAACCCAGCCTGTGATACTAGAACCCAGCCTGTGACACTAGAACCCAGCCTGTGACACTAGAACCCAGCCTGTGATACTAGAACCCAGCCTGTGATACTAGAACCCAGCCTGTGACACTAGAACCCAGCCTGTGATACTAGAACCCAGCCTGTGATACTAGAACCCAGCCTGTGACATTAGAACCCAGCCTGTGATACTAGAACCCAGCCTGTGATACTAGAACCCAGCCTGTGTTACTAGAACCCAGCCTGTGACACTAGAACCCAGCCTGTGATGTTAGAACCCAGCCTGTGACACTAGAACCTAGGCTGTGATGTTAGAACCCAGTCTGTGATACTAGAACCTAGGCTGTGATGTTACAACCCAGCCTGTGACACTATAACCCAGCCTGTGATACTAGAACCCAGCCTGTGATACTAGAACCCAGCCTGTGATACTAGAACCCAGCCCGTGCTGGGTGCGATTCCGTGGTGGTCGTGCACCAGAGTGGACACAGTTGGGGGAATCGCTGAGCGACACTTCGAGCGGGATGGTTTGTGTGGGTGCAGGGGTGGTTTGCGTGGGTGCAAGGGTGGTTTGCGTGCGGGCCGCACATTCCTCTGCACGTGTGACACCACACGTGCAGAGGCGATTCCCCCCCTAACCCCGCCCTGAACGCACACACGCCGCGCACACACACGCCGCACACACACACACACGCCGCACACACACACCGCACACACGCCGCCCACATACGTAGTGTCCCGGTGGGGGATCGCCTGGCACCGCGGGTTTTCATCCAAAGAGCCCCTAGAGGGGAAGTCCCACGGTTTCCCGGTGCCAGGAGATTGGCCGCCCCCCCCCCCCCCCAGGACAATTTACATTGCGGCCCCCAAATTGGCTTAAAATTGTCTGGGTGCACAGAAGCTCACGCGAGCAGCACAAACGAGGTGGTGGGAAGGAAATCCCTGCGCACACCGCGGGTTTGTATTCGGCAGCCGGGCGGCCGCTCAGGGTAAACCGGCTGAGTCAGGGGTAAGGAATGTGGGCGTGGAGACAACGGTACGGGGGATAGCGTAGCGTGATGCCCGAGGTAACGGCAGCGAAACTTTTGAAAATCAAAAGGTAGGTGCACGATTGGCTGCGCAGGATAACGTCATGTAACCCTGGATTTTCGAAATCCCAGGGCATAAACAGGGGGAACCCGGAACGGTTCAAGGGTCTTTGATCTCCAGCCGCTTGGCGGTAGGGACCGACTCCCCCTGCCTGCCTCCTCGAGCCATTCGCATTGTCCGTGAGACGCGAGCGAGTGCCGCTACGAGACAGCGATGGGCGAGGTTCTCTCCCGTCTCCGTCCCTCCGCGTCCATGCGACGCCGTGAGAACGGCTGCGAGGTACATAACAGGGCGCGTACATATTTGGGGAATTGGATACTGACAGGATAGGCTCTGCTCGCAGAATATTTCCTGCGGGTAGTGCAGAGTTTTTGCGATGCGAATAAAGACAGCACAGAGCTTCGGTACAGTGTTTGTATCTCGAGTGTACGTGTTCGCGCAGCCACTTGAGACTCGGGGCGAATGTCACAGAAGGGGCTGGACATTTGCTCGGCTCTGCCACGGTGAGACGCGGGGGTGTGTTGGTGGTTGGCGGCGCTCCCTCCCGCCGTGAGCCCGCGGCTGCCGTGTGCGCGTCTCGATCAACGAGACTCATCCATCTGCTTTGGGTCTTTCGGTAAAGTCACGTAGATGGGGACAAAAAATAAAAACGTTTCGATCGCAACACAAGCGACCGTTATCAGGTGGAAAAAAGGGGGGGGGGCATACTTTTTTTATTTTATTTACTTTTTTGAACCCATCTACGTCACTTTACCGAAAGATCCAAAGAATATGAATTCCTGCAGTGACGAAAGCTTGGAGTCAAGATACTCGTCAATTGACCGCAGCGGTCACGGCAGAGGCATCATTCAACATATATATTCAGTAAAGTTGAAGTTTTGATTTAAAGCTTTCGTGACTGCAGGGATTCGTCTTCTTGGTTCTTTCGGTAAAGTCACGTAGAAGGGAAATACAAATAAAACATAATAAAATACAATTCTCACGACGTTTCGGCCACAACGGCTGCTTGCGTTGTGGCTGAAACGTCGTGAGAATTGTATTTTATTATGTTTAAATTTTATTATTTTATTATTTCCCTTCTACGTGACTTTACCGAAAGAACCAAGAAGATAAAGTTGAAGAGTCTCGTGGAAATGCGGCAGTTTCAAATGTGTGGTTGGACGACTTTGATTCGGCACCGGGCAAGACGCTGCGCACGTGCCCGCAGCTCTTCGCCGCGTGCGTCTGGAGCCCTCGACTTCCACGTGCTCCTCTTGACGTCCCTCGCTGCCATTGCACGTGAGCAGCTCTCTCCATGCTTCCTTGGGCGCCCACCTCAGCCACCCGAGACTAAGACTGGAGTGATCTCAAAGTTCCAAACGTCTACGGGTGAGGCCCACTGTCTTCTAAGATCCAGGTCCGGTTCAATACAGTACACAAAATCCGTGATCTGATCCCATCCGTAAAGGATGTCATTCCTGACTTACAGTAGCTCGGTGTTTACAAATTGAGTTGTACCTGCGGTGACTGCTACATCGGGGAGACGAAACGACACGTTTCTGACCGAATTCGCGAGCACAAGTCAGATTTGAAACACGGCAGAACGAATTCTTCGGCCGTAGCTGCTCATTGTTTCAACACAGCGGGTTCTCATTTTCTCCGATACCAAAGTACTCTGCAAACCTCCCGGATACTACCAAAGATTTGTCCATGAAGCCATCCAGATATACAAACATAGACACAACTTCAACCGAGAGGATGGTTTCAAATTAAGCAATCATTGGAAAGATGTCATCAACCAAGTCAAACATGAGCTGCCTTATAATTGTACAGCCGTTTCCATTTCTTCCAGTTGTTTTCTATTCCCAGCTTGATTAGCCCCTTTTGTAACCAAGTTAAACCAAGTTAAACTTTAGCAGCCTTATAGCTTACTGCAGTATACTGCAAGGCAACCAGTTTGTCAGCTTAGATACTGCCTCCTGTTCATGTGTCTCACTTTGTTCAACCACTTGTCACCGCCTGCACACGGCGCTCTCTCCGTCCCCCTCATCCCCTGCGGCATCACTAAAGGCGGGTTAACTTAGCCCCCCCACGGCCCATCCTGGCTCCTCCCCCTCCTGAACCTGTATATATAATCTCGTGTCTCTTAGAGCTCTCTTCACTTGATACAGCAATTTTGCTGTGACGGTTCCACCTGAAGACGGAGCTTGTGTTGCCTCCGAAACGTCGTCATTTAATTCATTTTCCTTTTTTTACCGACGTCACTTTACCAAAAAAAAGACAAAGATTATGGGCCTCATTGTTGTCGTCACCAGAGGCGGAGCCTCCAGGGGGCGGGGCGTGGACAAACACGCGGTGACCTCATTGCTGTCGTCACCAAGTGGTCACGGAGACCACCCACAGCACGAGGCACTGCCAACAGACTCGGGCAAGGGCTGCAGTAGATGTTTAATGGAGCAATCAGCAAGCAGCGGGTTTTACATGACAATCACGTCGACTTATAATGGTTAATGATCACCGTGAAGAAAATGCAGAATGCCTTTTAATAACCTCATCCCTTAGCCGCCAAGTCTACAGCAGCACCTGGGAGGCTCTTGCGGAGTGGGATTATGGCTCCTCCCAGGCGAGCGGTAGAGCTGGCGGGACGACCTCACCCCAACGCTCAACTAGAACCTAACGCCGTCTTCTACTGTTCATGAGCACGAGCCCAGGTTCTACTTTGTGTTTGATTGCGATGGTGCTAATCGAGTCCACCACGGCAGGCAGGTGACGAGGAGCAGAGACGCTCTCGGCCTTCTGGGGTCTGCAGCCCCGATGGTCTCGCTGTTGCTACTACTGCAGCTATTGCAGCTACAACTGCTGCAGTTGCAGCTGCTGCTGCTACTGCTGCTGCTGCTGCAGCTGCTGCTGCTGCTGCTGCACTCCTCATCACGACTCGCCAGGGCTTCGTGGCCCTTGGAGCCGATGGCTCTTCCACGCCGACTCGTTGGTCGTCTCCGCACCGCGCTGCTATCCACGGCCTCGCTCGTAGGCACCTGCAGCACAGCTACAGTGGAGAACCCCCACCGTGAACAGCGGCCAGGGCCGCTCTGCCGGATGGAATCGCACTCGGACCATCGTAACCAAACCCTAACGGTTGCACTAGAATCTACTTTATCGTGTAAAATGTTAAAATTAAAGCAAAAGATTACGAGATGAAATGCCGCCTCCACCAGGCTCCGTCTCCACTCGCTGCACTTGCCACGAGTGCCCACGTCCACGGCACTGCCCCTCCTCCTGCTGCCCAACCCGGACCCAGGGGCCCACCGCCCCGCGACGGGGCCTCTCCCCTCCAGGCGGGGCCCTGCCGGCTACCACGCACGCCGCGCCAGTGGAGCCGTCTCCCGCCCTCGCTGCACATTCCCACACCGCCACCCCCACCTGGCCGCGTCCCTGCCGCTGCTGCCGGCGTTGACGTGCACACGGAGCCGCCGCTGCGTTCACGCGAATCCCAGCCGGGCACCTCGCTCGGTCACTACGAGGTGCCCGGTCCAACGACACCCATCGGATTAACTGCGATTGACGAGGAGGATCGTGACATCGACAATAGAGGCTTGTTGTGGGTTAGATTGTGTAGATGTGTCGTCAAACCCGCCACCACCTGACATGGACATCAGGCCGGGTGTAATTACCGGCGAAACGGCGTACTCGAGTTGTAGATGTTGTAGTGGGTTTACTCTCAACACACAGCCGCTTAGTGCTGTACTCGTCACTAATTGGAATGTTTTGTTTACGTGACAAACCCGACTAATTAGCTGTTGGGTGGTGGGGGGTTTAACGACACTTTTATATTCACGCAATTTAACCCAAAAGCCTCTCATGGATAATATTGGTCACGAAAGCCTCCTCCTACTACTACTAATACCGCTGCTGCTGCTGCGTGTTAAACAGAATCATGATAACAAAGAGAAGAAACCCGGAGACCCAGAGACAAGAAGCTGATTGGGGCAGTGGATGGCCTCTTCACGTCCACAGGTGGCCATGGGCCACGGGCGTCTGAGAGCATTCGGTGTTGCCTGCAAGCAGCAGCAGCAGCATCACAGAGCCTGTGCCAGTGTGAGCGCCGTGCTGGCCTCTGTAGGCCTCAAAGAAGCCACCGTCATCGTCTGCGGGCATGCAGTGTGAATGGCCGTGCATGAGTGAGTGAGTGTGTGAGTGAGTGTGAGTGAGTGTAGAGTGTGTGTGAGTGAGTGTGTGTGTGAGTGAGTGCGTGAGCGTGTGTGTGAGTGAGTGTGTGAGTGAGTGTGTGAGTGTGTGAGTGAGTGTAGAGTGTGTGTGAGTGAGTGTGTGTGTGAGTGAGTGTGTGTGTGTGAGTGCGTGAGCGTGTGTGTGAGTGAGTGTGTGAGTGAGTGTGTGAGTGAGTGTGTGAGTGAGTGAGTGTGTCAGTGAGTGAGTGTGTGTGTGTGAGTGAGTGTATGTGTGAGTGAGTGTGTGAGTGAGTGAGTGTGTGTGTGTGAGTGAGTGTATGTGTGAGTGAGTGTGTGAGTGAGTGTGTGAGTGAGTGAGTGTAGAGTGAGTGTGAGTGAGTGTAGAGTGAGTGTGTGAGTGAGTGTGTGAGTGTGTGAGTGAGTGTGTGAGTGTGTGAGTGAGTGAGTGTGTGAGTGAGTGTGTGAGTGTGTGTGTGAGTGAGTGAGTGTGTGAGTGAGTGTGTGTGTGAGTGAGTGAGTGTGTGAGTGAGTGTGTGTGTGAGTGAGTGTGTGAGTGAGTGTGTGTGTGAGTGAGTGAGTGTGTGAGTGAGTGAGTGTGTGAGTGAGTGCGGCCGTGGGCCCAAGCCCTGTTCAGGGTCCAGTACCCACGGTCGTCAGCGAGCCCAGTAGGCTGTGCTGGGTGTGTGTCACCTGTGTCACCTGTGTCACCTGCGTCACCTGCGTCACCTGTGTCACCTGCGTCACCTGTGTCACCTGTGTGGCGTGAGTGGCTGTCAGAGATTGCAGTTATGCTGTGGTAGAAATGGCGTGGCATGGAGTTATCAGCGTAGAGTTCGAGGTTTGGTGTTCAAGTGCGCATGGCAGTCACTGGTGCTCGGCTGCATGTAGGTGCAGTCCCGGCGTGTCTGGTTGTACGGCATGTGGTTGTCATGTGTGTGGTTGTCGTCACGTGTGTGGTTGTGCTGTGTTTGTGTGGTTGAGCTCCAATCAGCTGCTCTGTCCTCGACTCTGCCACCTGCAACAGCAGCAGCAACAGCAGCAACAGCAGCAGTAGCAGCAGCAGGAGCAGCAGCAACAGCAGCAGCAGAGAAAGGTGCAGCGGAACGTCCTGTGAGACCACAACACAGGGCAGCGCGTGAGAGTGGTGATGGGTGGTGGTGGTGAGTGCACAGTGTGGTGAGTGTGAGAGTGGTGATGGGTGGTGGTGGTGAGTGCACAGTGTGGTGAGTGTGAGAGTGGTGATGGGTGGCGGTGGTGAGTGCACAGTGTGGTGAGTGTGAGAGTGGTGATGGTGACGGTGGTGAGTGCACAGTGTGGTGAGTGTGAGAGTGGTGATGGGTGGTGATGGTGAGTGCACAGTGTGGTGAGTGTGAGAGTGGTGATGGGTGGTGATGGTGAGTGCACAGTGTGGTGAGTGTGAGAGTGGTGATGGGTGACGGTGGTGAGTGCACAGTGTGGTGAGTGTGAGAGTGGTGATGGTGACGGTGGTGAGTGCACAGTGTGGTGAGTGTGAGAGTGGTGATGGGTGACGGTGGTGAGTGCACAATGTGGTGAGTGTGAGAGTGGTGATGGTGGTGGTGGTGAGTGCACAGTGTGGTGAGTGTGAGAGTGGTGATGGGTGGTGATGGTGAGTGCACAGTGTGGTGAGTGTGAGAGTGGTGATGGTGACGGTGGTGAGTGCACAGTGTGGTGAGTGTGAGAGTGGTGATGGTGACGGTGGTGAGTGCACAGTGTGGTGAGTGTGAGAGTGGTGATGGGTGGTGGTGGTGAGTGCACAGTGTGGTGAGTGTGAGAGTGGTGATAGGTGGTGATGGTGAGTGCACAGTGTGGTGAGTGTGAGAGTGGTGATGGGTGACGGTGGTGAGTGCACAGTGTGGTGAGTGTGAGAGTGGTGATGGGTGGTGGTGGTGAGTGCACAGTGTGGTGAGTGTGAGAGTGGTGATGGGTGGTGGTGGTGAGTGCACAGTGTGGTGAGTGTGAGAGTGGTGATGGGTGGTGGTGGTGAGTGCACAGTGTGGTGAGTGTGAGAGTGGTGATGGGTGACGGTGGTGAGTGCACAGTGTGGTGAGTGTGAGAGTGGTGATGGGTGGTGGTGGTGAGTGCACAGTGTGGTGAGTGTGAGAGTGGTGATGGTGGTGGTGGTGAGTGCACAGTGTGGTGAGTGTGAGAGTGGTGATGGGTGGTGGTGGTGAGTGCACAGTGTGGTGAGTGTGAGAGTGGTGATGGGTGGCGGTGGTGAGTGCACAGTGTGGTGAGTGTGAGAGTGGTGATGGGTGGCGGTGGTGAGTGCACATTGTGGTGAGTGTGAGAGTGGTGATGGGTGACGGTGGTGAGTGCACAGTGTGGTGAGTGTGAGAGTGGTGATGGGTGGTGATGGTGAGTGCACAGTGTGGTGAGTGTGAGAGTGGTGATGGGTGGTGATGGTGAGTGCACAGTGTGGTGAGTGTGAGAGTGGTGATGGGTGACGGTGGTGAGTGCACATTGTGGTGAGTGTGAGAGTGGTGATGGGTGGTGGTGGTGAGTGCACAGTGTGGTGAGTGTGAGAGTGGTGATGGGTGACGGTGGTGAGTGCACAGTGTGGTGAGTGTGAGAGTGGTGATGGGTGACGGTGGTGAGTGCACAGTGTGGTGAGTGTGAGAGTGGTGATGGTGACGGTGGTGAGTGCACAGTGTGGTGAGTGTGAGTGTGGTGAATGTGTGGTAGTGCATCGTGAGTGTGGTGAGTGTGTGGTAGTGCATGGTGAGTGTGGTGAGTGTGAGTGTGGTGGTGTTCACTGTGTGGTGAATGTGTGGTAGTGCATGGTGAGTGTGGTGAATGTGTGGTAGTGCATGGTGAGTGTGGTGAGTGTGTGGTAGTGCATGGTGAGTGTGAGTGTGGTGAATGTGTGGTAGTGCATGGTGAGTGTGGTGAGTGTGTGGTAGTGCATGGTGAGTGTGGTGAGTGTGTGGTAGTGCATGGTGAGTGTGAGTGTGGTGAATTTGTGGTAGTGCATGGTGAGTGTGGTGAGTGTGTGGTAGTGCATGGTGAGTGTGAGTGTGGTGAATGTGTGGTAGTGCATGGTGAGTGTGGTGAATGTGTGGTAGTGCATGGTGAGTGTGAGTGTGGTGAATGTGTGGTAGTGCATGGTGAGTGTGGTGAGTGTGTGGTAGTGCATGGTGAGTGTGGTGAGTGTGTGGTAGTGCATGGTGAGTGTGAGTGTGGTGAATGTGTGGTAGTGCATGGTGAGTGTGGTGAGTGTGTGGTAGTGCATGGTGAGTGTGGTGAATGTGTGGTAGTGCATGGTGAGTGTGGTGAGTGTGTGGTAGTGCATGGTGAGTGTGGTGAATGTGTGGTAGTGCATGGTGAGTGTGGTGAATGTGTGGTAGTGCATGGTGAGTGTGGTGAATGTGTGGTAGTGCATGGTGAGTGTGGTGAGTGTGTGGTAGTGCATGGTGAGTGTGGTGAGTGTGTGGTAGTGCATGGTGAGTGTGGTGAGTGTGGTAGTGCATGGTGAGTGTGGTGAGTGTGGTAGTGCATGGTGAGTGTGGTGAGTGTGTGGTAGTGCATGGTGAGTGTGGTGAGTGTGTGGTAGTGCATGGTGAGTGTGGTGAGTGTGCGGTAGTGCATGGTGAGTGTGTGGTAGTGCATGGTGAGTGGACAGTGAACCTCATCAGTGCAGCTTCTCCACAGCATCCAGGAACTTGAGGAAGTCCTCCAGGCGGTGGAAGCCGCCCACTTCCCGTGCCACCATGGCGAAGAACTCCGGGGCCTGAGAGCAGGAAGAGGAGATGTGAGACAAAGACATCGAGGAGGAGCTGCGTGAGGAGCTGGGTGAGGAGGGGAGGAGCTGGGTGAGGAGGTGAGGAGCTGGGTGAGGAGGTGAGGAGGGGAGGAGCTGGGTGAGGAGGTGAGGAGCTGGGTGAGGAGGTGAGGAGCTGGGTGAGGAGCTGGGTGAGGAGCTGGGTGAGGAGGTGAGGAGCTGGGTGAGGAGCTGGGTGAGGAGCTGGGTGAGGAGGTGAGGAGCTGGGTGAGGAGCTGGGTGAGGAGCTGGGTGAGGAGGTGAGGAGCTGGGTGAGGAGCTGGATGAGGAGCTGGGTGAGGAGGGGAGGAGCTGGGTGAGGAGGGGAGGAGCTGCGTGAGGAGGTGAGGAGCTGGGTGAGGAGCTGGGTGAGGAGGGGAGGAGCTGGGTGAGGAGGTGAGGAGCTGGGTGAGGAGGTGAGGAGGGGAGGAGCTGGGTGAGGAGCTGGGTGAGGAGCTGGGTGAGGAGGGGAGGAGCTGGGTGAGGAGGTGAGGAGCTGGGTGAGGAGGGGAGGAGCTGGGTGAGGAGCTGGGTGAGGAGGGAGGAGCTGGGTGAGGAGGTGAGGAGGGGAGGAGCTGGGTGAGGAGGTGAGGAGGGGAGGAGCTGGGTGAGGAGGTGAGGAGGGGAGGAGCTGGGTGAGGAGGGGAGGAGCTGGGTGAGGAGGTGAGGAGGGGAGGAGCTGGGTGAGGAGGTGAGGAGGGGAGGAGCTGGGTGAGGAGGGGAGGAGGGGAGGAGCTGGGTGAGGAGGTGAGGAGGGGAGGAGCTGGGTGAGGAGCTGGGTGAGGAGGGGAGGAGCTGGGTGAGGAGGTGAGGAGGGGAGGAGCTGGGTGAGGAGGTGAGGAGGGGAGGAGCTGGGTGAGGAGGTGAGGAGCTGGGTGAGGAGGGGAGGAGCTGGGTGAGGAGGTGAGGAGGGGAGGAGCTGGGTGAGGAGCTGGGTGAGGAGGTGAGGAGCTGGGTGAGGAGGTGAGGAGCTGGGTGAGGAGGTGAGGAGCTGGGTGAGGAGGGGAGGAGCTGGGTGAGGAGGTGAGGAGGGGAGGAGTGGGTGAGGAGGTGAGGAGCTGGGTGAGGAGGTGAGGAGCTGGGTGAGGAGGTGAGGAGCTGGTGAGGAGGTGAGGAGCTGGGTGAGGAGGTGAGGAGGGGAGGAGCTGGGTGAGGAGGTGAGGAGCTGGGTGAGGAGGGGAGGAGCTGGGTGAGGAGCTGGGTGAGGAGGGGAGGAGCTGGGTGAGGAGGTGAGGAGGGGAGGAGCTGGGTGAGGAGGTGAGGAGGGGAGGAGCTGGGTGAGGAGGTGAGGAGCTGGGTGAGGAGGGGAGGAGCTGGGTGAGGAGGTGAGGAGGGGAGGAGCTGGGTGAGGAGCTGGGTGAGGAGGTGAGGAGCTGGGTGAGGAGGTGAGGAGCTGGGTGAGGAGGGGAGGAGCTGGGTGAGGAGGTGAGGAGGGGAGGAGCTGGGTGAGGAGGTGAGGAGGGGAGGAGCTGGGTGAGGAGGTGAGGAGCTGGGTGAGGAGGTGAGGAGCTGGGTGAGGAGGTGAGGAGCTGGGTGAGGAGGTGAGGAGCTGGGTGAGGAGGGGAGGAGGTGGGTGAGGAGGGGAGGAGCTGGGTGAGGAGGGGAGGAGCTGGGTGAGGAGGGGAGGAGCTATGTGGTGACACCACGTGGTACTGTGTGTGGTGACACTACGTGGTGCTGTGTGTGGTGACACCACGTGGTGCTGTGTGGTGACACCACGTGGTGCTGTGTGGTGACACCACGTGGTGCTGTGTGTGGTGTCCCCCACGTGGTGCTGTGTGGTGACACCACGTGGTGCTGTGTGGTGCCCCACGTGGTGTCCCCCACGTGGTGTCCCCCACGTGGTGTCCCCCACGTGGTGTCCCCACGTGGTGTCCCCGTGCCACCTGCTGGCGGATCTCCAGGAGCGAGTGGAGGATGCGGCCGTCGATCTGCGTGAAGTTGGGGCAGTAGGCGCCCAGGCTGCTCTCCTCCAGCCAGGCCTGCACGTCACCCTCCTGCCACTTGGGGACGCCTGGGGGCACGGCGAGCGGCGCACGCGGGGAAACACACGTGGGCAACAGACGCGGGCAACACACGTGGACAACAGAAGCGGGCAACACACGTGGGCAACACACGTGGGCAACACACGTGGGCAACAGACGTGGGCAACACACGTGGGCAACACACGTGGGCAACAGACGCGGGCAACAGACGCGGGCAACAGACGCGCGCAACACACGTGGGCAACAGACGCGGGCAACAGACGCGGGCAACAGACGCGGGCAACAGACGCGGGCAACAGACGCGGGCAACAGACGCGGGCAACAGACGCGGGCAACAGACGCGGGCAACAGACGCGGGCAACACACGTGGGCAACACACGTGGGCAACAGACGTGGGCAACACACGTGGGCAACAGACGCGGGCAACAGACGCGGGCAACACACGTGGGCAACACACGTGGGCAACACACGTGGGCAACACACGTGGGCAACACACGTGGGCAACAGACGTGGGCAACACACGTGGGCAACAGACGCGGGCAACACACGTGGGCAACACACGTGGGCAACAGACGTGGGCAACAGACGTGGGCAACACACGTGGGCAACAGACGCGGGCAACACACGTGGGCAACACACGTGGGCAACAGACGTGGGCAACAGACGCGGGCAACAGACGTGGGCAACAGACGTGGGCAACACACGTGGGCAACAGACGCGGGCAACACACGTGGGCAACACACGTGGGCAACAGACGTGGGCAACAGACGTGGGCAACACACGTGGGCAACAGACGTGGGCAACACACGTGGGCAACAGACGCGGGCAACACACGTGGGCAACACACGTGGGCAACAGACGTGGGCAACAGACGCGGGCAACAGACGCGGGCAACACACGTGGGCAACACACGCGGGCAACAGACGCGGGCAACACACGTGGGCAACACACGTGGGCAACACACGTGGGCAACAGACGCGGGCAACACACGTGGGCAACAGACGTGGGCAACACACGTGGGCAACAGACGCGGGCAACAGACGCGGGCAACAGACGCGGGCAACACACGTGGGCAACACACGTGGGCAACAGACGTGGGCAACAGACGCGGGCAACACACGTGGGCAACACACGTGGGCAACAGACGTGGGCAACACACGTGGGCAACACACGTGGGCAACAGACGCGGGCAACAGACGTGGGCAACACACGTGGGCAACACACATGGGCAACAGACGCGGGCAACAGACGTGGGCAACACACGTGGGCAACACACGTGGGCAACAGACGCGGGCAACAGACGTGGGCAACAGACGTGGGCAACCACGGGGGACTCGGCGTGAGCAAGACGAGCAACTTGACGGGGATCCTGCAACTCGGTGCCACAAACACCCAGCTGCCCCGTGTCTCTTCTCATGTCCCCTGAACTGCCGTTGCCTAGGGGCTGCTGTTGCCTAGGGGCTGCCGTTGCCTAGGGGCTGCCGTTGCCAGGTTACTGTTGCCTAGGGGCTGCCGTTGCCTAGGGGCTGCTGTTGCCTAGGGGCTGCTGTTGCCTAGGGGATGCCGTTACCTGCGAGGCGAGCCTGCACCTCCTTGGACCTGGAGGAGGAGCAGCACGAGATGAAGCCCTTGACGGCGCGGAGCACGACCTGAGGCACAGGGGGGGGGGGGTGTCACTACACGAGCACTGAAGTGTAGAGGAGGTGGTGTAGAGGAGGAGGAGGTGTAGAGAAGGGGGAGGTGTAGAGGAGGTGGTGTAGAGGAGGAGGAGGAGGTGTAGAGGAGGAGGAGGTGTAGAGGAGGAGGAGGTGTAGAGGAGGAGGAGGTGTAGAGGAGGAGGTGTAGAGGAGGAGGAGGTGTAGAGGAGGAGGAGGTGTAGAGGAGGAGGTGTAGAGGAGGAGGAGGTGTAGAGGAGGAGGAGGTGTAGAGGAGGAGGAGGTGTAGAGGTGGAGGAGGTGTAGAGGAGGAGGTGTAGAGGAGGAGGTGTAGAGGAGGAGGTGGTAGAGGAGGAGGTGTAGAGGAGGAGGAGGTGTAGAGGAGGGGGAGGTGTAGAGGAGGTGGTGTAGAGGAGGAGGAGGAGGTGTAGAGGAGGAGGAGGTGTAGAGGAGGAGGAGGTGTAGAGGAGGAGGAGGTGTAGAGGAGGAGGAGGTGTAGAGGAGGAGGAGGTGTAGAGGAGGAGGTGTAGAGGAGGAGGAGGTGTAGAGGAGGAGGAGGTGTAGAGGAGGAGGAGGTGTAGAGGAGGAGGAGGTGTAGAGGAGGAGGTGTAGAGGAGGAGGTGTAGAGGAGGAGGTGGTAGAGGAGGAGGTGTAGAGGAGGAGGAGGTGTAGAGGAGGAGGTGTAGAGGAGGAGGTGTAGAGGAGGAGGTGTAGAGGAGGAGGTGTAGAGGAGGAGGTGGTAGAGGAGGAGGAGGTGTAGAGGAGGAGGTGTAGAGGAGGAGGTGTAGAGGAGGAGGTGGTAGAGGAGGAGGAGGTGTAGAGGAGGAGGTGTAGAGGAGGAGGTGTAGAGGAGGACGAGGTGTAGAGGAGGAGGAGGTGTAGAGGAGGAGGAGGAGGTGTAGAGGAGGAGGTGTAGAGGAGGAGGAGGTGTAGAGGAGGAGGTGTAGAGGAGGAGGTGTAGAGGAGGAGGAGGTGGAGGTGCTCACGCTGCCCCAGGAGACGGCCGCTCTCTCCCTCAGCTGGTTCTGGTTCGTGCTCCATATGGGGCAGTGGAGTTGTCCCTCTGAGACACACAAACACTCAGAGTCACTCACCATTCACTCACTCACCACTCACTCACCACTCACTCACTCACTATACACACTCACCACTCACTCACCACTCACTCACTCACCACTCACTCACACTCACCACTCACTCACACTCACCACTCACTCACACTCACCACTCACTCACACTCACCACTCACTCACACTCACCACTCACCACTCACTCACCACTCACTCACTCACTATACACACTCACTCACACTCACCACTCACTCACACTCACCACTCACTCACACTCACCACTCACTCACACTCACCACTCACCACTCACTCACTCACACTCACCACTCACTCACTCTCACCACTCACTCACTCACTCACCACTCTCTCACCACTTACTCACTCACTCACTACTCACTCACCACTCACTCACCACTCACTCACTACACACACCACTCACTCACTCACCACTCACTCACTCACCACTCACTCACCACTCACTCAGTACACACACCACTCACTCACCACTCACTCACCACTCACTCACTCACCACTCACTCACCACTCACTCACTACACACACTCAACACACACACACTCACCACTCACTCACCACTCACTCACCACTCACTCACTACACACTCACACCACACACTCACCACTCACTACTCACCACTCACTCACACACCACTCACTCACCACTCACTCACTCACTATACACACTCTCTCACTACTCACTCACTACTCACTCACTACACACTCACCACTCACTCACCACTCACTCACTACACACTCACACCACACACTCACCACTCACTAACTCACCACTCACTACTCACCACTCACTCACCACTCACTCACTCACCACTCCTCACTCACCACTCACTCACTCACTCACCACTCACTCACCACTCACTCACTCACTCACCACTCACTAACTCACCACTCACTACTCACCACTCACTCACTCACTCACCACTCACTCACCACTCACTCACCACTCACTATACACACTCACTCACCACTCACTCACTACACACTCACCACTCACTCACCACTCACTCACTACACACTCACACCACACACTCACCACTCACTCACTACTCACTCACTACTCACCACTCACTCACCACTCACTACTCACTCACCACTCACCCACCACTCACTCACTGACCACTCACTCATCACTCACTCACACACCACTCACTCACCACTCACTCACCACTCACTCACTCACTCTACACACTCTCTCACTACTCACTCACTACTCACTCACTACACACTCACCACTCACTCACCACTCACTCACTACACACTCACACCACACACTCACCACTCACTAACTCACCACTCACTACTCACCACTCACTCACTCACCACTCCTCACTCACCACTCACTCACTCACTCACCACTCACTCACCACTCACTCACTCACTCACCACTCACTAACTCACCACTCACTACTCACCACTCACTCACTCACTCACCACTCACTCACCACTCACTCACCACTCACTATACACACTCACTCACTACTCACTCACTACACACTCACCACTCACTCACCACTCACTCACTACACACTCACACCACACACTCACCACTCACTCACTACTCACTCACTACTCACCACTCACTCACCACTCACTACTCACTCACCACTCACCCACCACTCACTCACTGACCACTCACCACTCACTCATCACTCACTCACCACTCACTCACACCACACTCACCACTCACTCACTACTCACCACTCACTCACCAGTCACTCACCACTCACCACTCACTCACTATACACACTCACTCACTCACCACTCACTCACTCACCACTCACTCACCACTCACCACTCACTCACTACACACTCACTACTCACTCACTACACACTCACCTCTCACTCACTCACCACTCACACTCCACACTCACCGCACACATATGCGTAGTGTATGTACGTAGTGTATATAGTATACGTAGTGTGTGTGTATATAGTGTATATATAGTATATATCTATATATATAAAAGGGAAATTTGTGAATATGTGTGTCTGTTCGAAATGTTTAGCATACTTCCCGCAACAAACTTGAAATTTGGCATGTGGGTAGTTTCCAAACTGTACAAAATACGAAATTATTAAAATACTTTTGTATTTGGGGGGGGGGGGGGGGGCGCAATAATGGATATATTTTGCACGGCAGTGTGCCTGCTGACATCACGCATCCCCCCCCCCCACCCTCCATGTAGGCCGTGTATTAATCCAAGACAAGAATCCAAGTCGTGGGCGAAGCCGGGTAGTAAAGCTAGTAAGGGTATATATGCGTGTGTTTTTTTATATATGTAGTGTGTGTGTGTGACGTGCTGCTGAGTGTGCAGGGAGAGCCGCCCTCCCCCTCCTGCTCCTCACCCTGCCTCATCTGGGAGCAGGTGCCGGGGTCGCGGCTGAGTCTGCTGAGCGTCGTCACCGCGTGGAGCTTCTCCACGGAGCGGCCCTGCCTCAGGCTCTGCACCAGCGGAGCCACGGCGCCCGCCTCGTAGATCTGACGACAGAAGCGGACGAGAAGCGTCACGGATTCACGACCAAGCGACGACGTCCCGACGGGGAAGCGACGATGGCGGCGCGCGACGCCCGGCACGGCGCCGAGGGCCGACTCGGTGCCTCGTGGGTGGTGCGGCGCCTCGTGGGTGGTGCGGTGCCTCGTGGGTGGTGCGGTGCGAGTGCTCACCTTCCTGCGCACCGGCCAGCACACGGACAGCATGGCCAGCATCTCCAGCAGCTCCTCCGTCAGGTATATGATCACACCCACCGACTTGTATCGGCCGTACACGCTGGGCCGACTGATGGCCTGGAGCAGCTCGTTAGTGGTGTCTGTAATGAGACGCGCAGCCCATCAAATAGGACCATACTCTGTTACCCACACCGGCATCATGAGAGGCCTGCCTAACAGTGATCTCACACACACACACACAGGAACGGAACAACAACAACAACCGCCATTCGCCACTAAGTGGCGGTGACGTCACCACGACGCTTGTGCCAGGCCATGTGCACCTTGAGGCCACGTGAAGTGTGGAACGCCCGCTGGCAGGAGGTCAAGGGGCAGACCCAGGTGCCACGGGTCGACTGACTGAGATGACCGAGATGACTGGCTGATGCACCACCTGTGCCCCCTACTGTGCCAACTTGCTGTGCTTTAGCCACCCGGCGCTCCGCTCGTTGTTGTGAGCGTCGCTCCTCCGCCCTCCGTTGTTGTTGGAGGGCGACTGCCTCCAACTGCCCAGTAGCGTCCTTCACGAGCCTCCTCCACAGAGGCCGATCTTGACACCGCTGGTACCAGTCATCGGCAAGTCCACTCAGCTCCACGTCCTCCTGTACCACATCACTCCATCTCTTCTCTAGCCCGTGCCGCGCCCGTTTAGCCCCCTCGATCCGGCCGAACAAAAGCTGTTTAGGCATGCGGTGGCTGGGCATGCGGGCTACATGACCCAGCCAACGCATCCTTGCCTGCCGGAGGAGCTCACCGATGGGACTTTGCCCAGATCTTTCAAGGATTTGTGAGCTCCTCACACAATCCAGCCTGGTTAAACCCAGGATGGATCATAGGCAGGCCAGCATAAATGTTTCTAACTGGCGAAGATGCTCCATTAGGGGGGTCCACGTTTCGCAAGCGTAGAGAAGGGAGGGAATGACCATGGCCGAGAAGACCTGAAGCTTCGTGCGGAGTGAGAGACCAGGTAGCTTCCACATAGCGTTACATAACCGATGAAAGATATTTCCGCTCGACTGATTCGGTTAGAGAAATTAGAAACAGTGAGAAATTAGAAAATTTCTCTAACCCCTCCCTCTCTCTCCGCCCCCGCCCCCTCTCTCAAGCTTTTGCACCGTGCCACTCACCGTGCCACTCATGGACATGCTAATTTCTCTAACCCCTCCCTCTCTCTCCGCCCCCGCCCTCTCTCTATTTAAGGCCTCGACACAGAGGCGTGGTTTCTCTGTGTGCCTATGTTTGTTCTCTCTCTATGTATCTCTGTGATATCTGTCTGCTTATATGTCTGTCTATATGTCTCTGGTTCTGTGTTTTATCTCTCTCTCAAATTTAGCATTCTCAGGAAGAATGTAATAAACCAGGTAGGGTGTTGACTGTTATGTTATCCGACTCTCTGTTGTAATACATTTCTAAGTATACTAGATTTGTGTTTCTATTTCATTTATACCTGATGATGATTGCTTGTGTTGCAATCGAAACGTCGTATGCTAGTATTTAATTTATTATTTTATCTTTATACGTGACTTTACCGAAAGAACCAAAGAGTAACATAACAGTGATCTCACACACACACACAGGAACGTGACAGTGATCACACACAGGAACATAACAGTGATCTCACACACACACACACACAGGAACATAACAGTGATCTCACACACACAGGAACATAACAGTGATCACACACACACAGGAACATAACAGTGATCACACACACACACAGGAACATAACAGTGATCTCACACACACACACACAGGAACATAACAGTGATCTCACACACACAGGAACATAACAGTGATCACACACACACAGGAACATAACAGTGATCTCACACACACAGGAACATAACAGTGATCTCACACACACAGGAACATAACAGTGATCACACACACACACACAGGAACATAACAGTGATCTCACACACACACACACACAGGAACATAACAGTGATCTCACACACACAGGAACATAACAGTGATCTCACACACACACACACAGGAACATAACAGTGATCTCACAAACACACACAGGAACGTAACAGTGATCTCACAAACACAGGAACGTAACAGTGATCACACACACACACAGGAACATAACAGTGATCACACACACACAGGAACATAACAGTGATCTCACACACACACACAGGAACATAACAGTGATCTCACACACACACAGGAACATAACAGTGATCTCACACACACACAGGAACATAACAGTGATCTCACACACACAGGAACATAACAGTGATCACACACACACAGGAACATAACAGTGATCACACACACACACAGGAACATAACAGTGATCTCACACACACACACACAGGAACATAACAGTGATCTCACACACACACAGGAACATAAAAGTGATCTCACACACACAGGAACATAACAGTGATCTCACACACACAGGAACATAACAGTGATCACACACACACACAGGAACATAACAGTGATCTCACACACACACACACAGGAACATAACAGTGATCTCACACACACACACACAGGAACATAACAGTGATCTCACACACACAGGAACATAACAGTGATCACACACACACACACAGGAACATAACAGTGATCTCACACACACAGGAACATAACAGTGATCACACACACACACACAGGAACATAACAGTGATCACACACACACACACAGGAACATAACAGTGATCTCACACACACAGGAACATAACAGTGATCTCACACACACACACAGGAACATAACAGTGATCTCACAAACACACACAGGAACGTAACAGTGATCTCACAAACACAGGAACGTAACAGTGATCACACACACACACAGGAACATAACAGTGATCACACACACACAGGAACATAACAGTGATCTCACACACACACACACACAGGAACATAACAGTGATCACACACACACAGGAACATAACAGTGATCTCACACACACACACAGGAACATAACAGTGATCTCACACACACGAACATAACAGTGATCTCACACACACACACAGGAACGTAACAGTGATCTCACACACACACACACAGGAACATAACAGTGATCTCACACACACAGGAACATAACAGTGATCTCACACACACACACACAGGAACATAACAGTGATCTCACAAACACACACAGGAACGTAACAGTGATCTCACAAACACAGGAACGTAACAGTGATCACACACACACACAGGAACATAACAGTGATCACACACACACAGGAACATAACAGTGATCTCACACACACACACAGGAACATAACAGTGATCTCACACACACACACACACAGGAACGTAACAGTGATCTCACACACACACACAGGAACGTAACAGTGATCTCACACACACAGGAACGTAACAGTGATCTCACACACACACAGGAACATAACAGTGATCACACACACACAGGAACATAACAGTGATCTCACATACACAGGAACGTAACAGTGATCACACACACACACACACAGGAACGTAACAGTGATCTCACACACACACACACAGGAACATAACAGTGATCTCACACACACAGGAACGTAACAGTAATCTCACACACACACAGGAACGTAACAGTGATCACACACACACACACAGGAACGTAACAGTGATCTCACACACACAGGAACGTAACAGTGATCTCACACACACAGGAACGTAACAGTAATCACACACACACACAGGAACGTAACAGTGATCTCACACACACAGGAACGTAACAGTGATCTCACACACACAGGAACGTAACAGTGATCTCACACACACACAGGAACATAACAGTGATCTCACACACACAGGAACATAACAGTGATCTCACACACACAGGAACATAACAGTGATCTCACACACACACACAGGAACATAACAGTGATCTCACACACACAGGAACGTAACAGTGATCTCACACACACACAGGAACGTAACAGTGATCTCACACACACACAGGAACATAACAGTGATCACACACACACAGGAACATAACAGTGATCTCACACACACAGGAACATAACAGTGATCACACTGTTGAATATGTACCCCTTTTTCCAAAATTAATATTAAGAATAATTCTGCCAATAATTTTTTTTGGTTCACGTAGTCACTCGGAAGCGCAAACAAAGATGTAACACCCAACCCTCCTGGAGCAGCTGCCCTTAACACTCGAGACCAGAGGGCAGGAGATGAACCATAAAAAAATCACACCCACCCCTCCCGCCAAGGGAAGAGGCAGTCGTAAAAAAAACACACGCCCCCCCCCCCCGACGAGAGAGAACACAGGCGTTTCGCTTTGATTAACTTTTTCACGTTTCCTCTAATAACGAAAAACCGAAACTTAGCGACAAAGATTAAGCGCACATTATTGATTCTCACTCCAATTGAAGACCAGGCTACAGTCTGCACCAGTGGGTCGTGACTCCTCAATTATTAATTCAATACTAATGTATGGTTACCTTAGTAATTCTCTACGCGACCTGATCAAAAAAAACAACAATAATAACTATGGCAGTCAGGGTCGTTCCTAGGCCAAAGCGAATTCCCGAACTTTGGGATATATATATAACAATAATGTCTCGAGAGCAGATAGCAAGCTCGGGGTGCAGGATGGAGTGTGCTCTGTGGAGACGGAGCCCCCGACCGCCTTTGTCTTCCCGTAGCACGGATGGCGAGATTTGCACACACAAAGGAAGCATCTCCCCATAAAGAAATCAAACCCGACGGAAATACTGGGAGCACGGCCACAACATACCTTGAATCACTTACAATCAAAATTATAAGCAATATTATAATTAAAGTGAGTCTCATTTTAACTTCTAAACAGAAACGGAAAAACGTGGAAGTTGTGTGAAACAGAGTTACAAATCCACGAAACACGCGGCGTTACTCACGCAACAATTTACCAAGGAGACAATCCCACACACCCACACAATGGAATCAACCCTAGCCAATCATAAGAAGACTAATTATAAAAGTATGAATCATCAGCTGGCCATGAAGGCATCGCGGCTCATCGCGTGATTAGAATACGGCGTTTATAAGTGCCTTAGTTTTTTTAAATTTAGTTTTCTTTCGTTTTTTTATCGCATATACGACCAATAGATTCGTCGATGCAAACTAAACTCTTGAAATCCTCATCACGAATCTACACGTTTACAGAGAGAGAATATCGTGTCAAACCTGTTCCTTTGTCATTAAATCTCGCTTAAGAATTAATTGAAGATGAGCCAGAGATACGCTCTCCCATAAAGTACACACGCACGCCCTCGCACACCATTGTTCCAAAACATTTCGTAAAAAATGTAATCTTGCCGACGAATCTATTGACGTATGCTTTTGCCTTCGGGATATAATAATTTGCTTATTGCCTTTCGTATGACTATCGTTGCTTGCCTGTTTTAAAGACTCTACCTGTCGCCGGATGTGCTCGTTGCGCGGTGGAATTAATGAGATGTGCGGTTGCCAAAGGGAAACCAGCATTGATGGTTAAGAGTGTTGCTCACTGAGAGAAATCTCCCCGATGGTACCGTGGATAATTCCAAGCATGAGAGTTCGCATATTAGAGTGTCATATTTTTGTTTACAATTAAAATTGCTTAACACAGAAGTGTTTGAGTGTTTCTTTCCAAGTCCATGCATAACTATCTTAATTATGAGAACTGTATCCTGCGTTTAGATATGAATTTGGAGACCTAACATAACATAAGCACACCAAGAGATAATACATTTTTAAGCAAGAATAATTGTTTTATCCTGATTGATACGACACTGGGCAGCGAAGCTAAGCCTAATTATCATAACTACCCACATTAACATAATCGCAAGCATTCGCATAAATTAATACGATTATCTCTATGATTATCATAATTGATGCGTATAACTACATACATTAGCCACATTTCCTAGATTTGCGTATTTTTCGAATCTTCTTTTAATTTTTATTAATTTTTTTTATATATAGAAATTTCATAACCCGACATATACAACAAAACACACACAGGAACATAACAGTGATCTCTCACACACAGGAACATAACAGTGATCTCACACACACACACAGGAACGTGACAGTGATCACACAAACGCGTGGCTTAATGACTAGGACCGAGTGTACACATGGTGGTATACGTGTAGAGACGTTGTGCTAGCTATGCTCCATTGTGTTTACACTACTTGTGTAGCTCTGTGGGCACACACGGGAATACAAGCACACACCTACTGATGCAGCCTGATGACTCTCAGGCCTAAAGCTGCTTCCACACACAATCTTTAACCCTTTATGTATGCTGAAGTTCTTTCCGTACGTAGCCAACCGTGCTAATCGGAGGTGCGGGGGAAGGACAACAAACTCAACACAAAAGCAGTTCTCAAGAAATAAGTTTAAATCTAGATGATGATTTAGAATTGCATAGCTCCAGTGGCTTTCTAATATGGGAAGAGCATTCCAGACGGCCAAAAAAGCACATCTGAAAGTGCGCGATGCAGTCACCACCGTCTTTGTTCGATGGTGAGCCAAAAGCTGCGAAAGCCTACGTGTTAAAGCAAAAGCCGCTGCGAGGATGGCCGGAGTTTGTGTGATGGTTTATGCTCCTTGACGAGAATATAGTACCTCTACTATTCTTCAGACTCTGTACACTTCAGTGAGACTGGCATCACGAAAATAGCCGTCACTCACCATCACTTATCCTGGAACACAACCCACCCAATCGTTCCAGGAGATTTGTATGAATCCCTCTCGATCCTGAACAAGGCGGAAACGGTCGCGTTGACACCCCTCATCTGACATCTGAATAAAGCTGCGCAAGGGAGGCGAGCGGCGGGCGAGCGAGGGCCGAGTCCTGCAGGCGAGGAGCGGTCCGTGCGGGGTGCGTGCGCCGGGCGAGGAACGGTCGGCTCGTGCGTTGAGAGGTGCTTACTCGTCTCTCCCAGGGGGTCGCAGTCGCTCTCCTCCAGCACGAGGGCGATGACCTGCAGGGCAGCCAACCTGACCTCCACGTTGTCCTTCTTGAGCATCTCCTGCATCACGGGCACCGCGTTGCTCTGGCGGAAGCAGGCGCGGTTCTCTGGCTCGCGGGAGAGGTTCCCCAGCAGAGAGACGGTGTTCACCAGCAGCCTGAGTATGGCCTGGAGACACACGGGGAGAGAGACACGGGGAGAGACACGGAGACGTCACCGCCTTCATATCCCTTCATCAACCAGCGCTCCACGCTGCCATGGGGACACGCTCGTGTGTTTACATGCTTGTTTACATGTGTTTACATGCTTACTTACATGTGTTTACATGCTTGTTTACACGCTTGTTTGCGTGTGTTTTCATGCTTGTTGACGCTTGTGTTTACGTGTGTTGACACGTAAACACCGATGGAGGTGCACATGACGGTGCGTCAGGCTGCTTGTTATTGTTGTTGACGATGCGTCAGGCTGCTTGTTATTGTTGTTGTCGGTGCGTCAGGCTGCTTGTTATTGTTGTTGTCGGTGCGAATGTCTCCCAGTGCGGTGAGCGGCCGTGCGTCGGTGGTCTGTGCACAGTAGAAGGCCGACCAAAACTGAATTTTTGGTTTCGGCTGAAACCGAAACCAGACCGAAAGTTTAACTACACTTTCGACCGAGACCGAAACAGAAAGGTATATAACCGAAATTACCGAACACAAGATTTATGAAATACAATGAGGGAAAAAAGTATTTGATCCCCTGCTGATTTTGTACGTTTGCCCACTGACAAAGAAATGATCAGTCTATAATTTTAATGGTAGGTTTATTTGAACAGTGAGAGACAGAATAACAACACATAAATCCAGAAAAACGCATGTCAAAAATGTCATAAATTGATTTGCAGGATAATGAGGGAAATAAGTACATGACCCCTCTGCAAAACATGACTTAGTACTTGGTGGCAAAACCCTTGTTGGCAATCACAGAGGTCAGACGTTTCTTGTAGTTGGCCACCAGGTTTGCACACATCTCAGGAGGGATTTTGTCCCACTCCTCTTTGCAGATCTTCTCCAAGTCATTAAGGTTTCGAGGCTGACGTTTGGCAACTCGAACCTTCAGCTCCCTCCACAGATTTTCTATGGGATTAAGGTCTGGAGACTGGCTAGGCCACTCCAGGACCTTAATGTGCTTCTTCTTGAGCCACTCCTTTGTTGCCTTGGCCGTGTGTTTTGGGTCATTGTCATGCTGGAATACCCATCCATGACCCATTTTCAATGCCCAGGCTGAGGGAAGGAGGTTCTCACCCAAGATTTCACGGTACATGGCCCCGTCCATCGTTCCTTTGATGCGGTGAAGTTGTCCTGTCCCCTTAGCAGAAAAACACCCCCAAAGCATGTTTCCACCTCCATATTTGAAGGTGGGGATGGTGTTCTTGGGGTCATAGGCAGCATTCCTCCTCCTCCAAACACGACGAGTTGAGTTGATGCCAAAGAGCTCCATTTTGGTCTCATCTGACCACAACACTTTCACCCAGTTGTCCTCTGAATAATTCAGATGTTCATTGGCAAACTTCAGACGGGCATGTATATGTGCTTTCTTGAGCAGGGGACCTTGCGGGCGCTGCAGGATGTCAGTCCTTCACGGCGTAGTGTGTTACCAACTGTTTTCTTGGTGACTATGGTCCCAGCTGCCTTGAGATCATTGACAAGATCCTCCCGTGTAGTTCTGGGCTGATTCCTCACCATTCTCATGAACGCACGCGTGTGTTTACGTGTGTTGACACGTAAACACATTTGATAGAACTAACATATCCAATAGATTTACATTTTACATTTTCTTTTTGGTTTTTTTCAAATATTGCTAATTTGTCTATTTGTTGTATTGTGCAGGGATATTCTATCACGCCACGTGGAGTAGTGCACAGATCAGAGAGGCCAAGTGGCTGCCAGCAACGGAGAGCAAAAGAGGCAAGAATTAAACCTCTCGGCACACTTGCTGCTGTGTCCACGCTTCAACATGCCAGAAGGCCGCACGATGGCCAGGGCTCACCAGAGGACACTGCTCGTCAGCCTGCAGTTGGCCAAGCCGATTCCTATAAAGCTTTCAAGCATTCTGCAGCAGAGCGAGGAGTGCTGAGAGTGACCAGAGCCATGATACTGTAACTGAGATGAGTGACGTGAAGGAGAAATATTTGCTAACTTTACGTGATGTTTCTTTCTGGGAGATACCAGTTCCAGATCATTTTCGGGTTGAGATCATGGAAAGGCGAAGTGCTTCTTTACAGAACAGAGACGGGCCTCTTGCGGTGTTGCGGCAAGGCGAGATGCAGAAGCCGAGACGGAGCTGTGCGCCAGCCTCATGAAGAGTGGTCTCACGAGGCGCTGCCAAATGGCGAGAACTTGCTGCGCCCATGGCTGGTTTACTCGCTCGCTCAGCGAGGATTCTCACTGTTTGTGCTGCCGGCTGCTTGCCTGAGCGCCACAGAGACGACGACATCGTCACGTGTGACTGGGGGTCTCACAAGCGGTGGAGACTGAGCCCGAAAGTGCGTAACCACGAGACGTCCCAAAAGCGCCGACGTCGCCTTAAACAGTGTAAAACGTGGGCAGCGGGACTGAGGCTGCGCAAAACCATTGACGCCGAAACGACTGCTGTGATGGAGACGTAGAAGAAGACGTGGAGGGACATCTTGCACAGATCGCTTCCTATCTCACGCTGTTTCTTGCCAAGCAGAATCTGGCATTCCGTGGCCACAAGGAAGATGAATCTTCACGGAAAGAAGGGGACTTCCTTGAGATGGTTGAGATGCTTTCAAAATGTGATCCAGTGCTGAATGAGCACCTAGTGAGATTAAAGCGGAGCTCTTGCAAACTACTCGCCACCATCATCTACTACTCGCCATCATCTACTACTCGCCATCATCTACTACTCACCACCATCTACTACTCGCCATCATCTACTACTCACCATCATCTACTACTCACCATCATCTACTACCCGCCATCATCTACTACTCGCCATCATCTACTACTCGCCATCATCTACTACTCACCATCATCTACTACCAGAGGTGGGACAAAGTCATTGTTATGCAAGTCCAAGTCGAGTCTGAAGTCATCAAATTCATGACTCGAGTCTGACTCGAGTCCAAGTCACATGACTCGAGTCCACACCTCTGTCTACTACCCACCATCATCTACTACTCACCATCATCTACTACTCACCATCATCTACTACTCACCATCATCTACTACTCACCATCATCTACTACTCGCCACCATCTACTACTCGCCACCATCTACTACTCGCCATCATCTACTACTCGCCACCATCTACTACTCGCCACCATCTACTACTCGCCACCATCTACTACTCGCCATCATCTACTACTCGCCACCATCTACTACTCGCCACCATCTACTACTCGCCACCATCTACTACTCGCCACAATCTACTACTCGCCATCATCTACTACTCGCCACCATCTACTACTCGCCATCATCTACTACTCGCCATCATCTACTACTCGCCATCATCTACTACCCGCCATCATCTACTACTCGCCATCATCTACTACTCACCATCATCTACTACTTCACCATCATCTACTACTCGCCATCATCTACTACTCGCCACCATCTACTACTCACCATCATCTACTACTTCACCATCATCTACTACTCGCCATCATCTACTACTCGCCATCATCTACTACTCACCATCATCTACTACTTCACCATCATCTACTACTCGCCATCATCTACTACTCGCCACCATCTACTACTCGCCATCATCTACTACTCGCCACCATCTACTACTCGCCATCATCTACTACTCGCCACCATCTACTACTCGCCATCATCTACTACTCACCATCATCTACTACCCACCATCACATACTACCCATCATCTACTACCTGCCATCATCTACTACTCGCCACCATCTACTACTCGCCACCATCTACTACTCGCCATCATCTACTACTCACCATCATCTACTACTCACCATCATCTACTACCCACCATCACATACTACCCATCATCTACTACCCGGCATCATCTACTACTCGCCACCATCTACTACTCGCCATCATCTACTACTCGCCATCATCTACTACTCGCCACCATCTACTACTCGCCATCATCTACTACTCGCCATCATCTACTACTCGCCATCATCTACTACTCGCCATCATCTACTACTCACCACCATCTACTACCCGCCATCATCTACTACTCGCCATCATCTACTACTCACCATCATCTACTACCCACCATCATCTACTACTCACCATCATCTACTACTCACCACCATCTACTACTCGCCATCATCTACTACCCACCATCATCTACTACCCACCATCATCTACTACTCACCACCATCTACTACTCACCACCATCTACTACTCGCCATCATCTACTACCCGCCACCATCTACTACTCGCCACCATCTACTACCCGCCATCATCTACTACTCGCCATCATCTACTACCCGCCATCATCTACTACCCACCATCATCTACTACTCGCCATCATCTACTACCCACCATCATCTACTACCCACCATCATCTACTACCCGCCATCATCTACTACCCACCATCATCTACTACTCGCCATCATCTACTACTCGCCATCATCTACTACCCGCCATCATCTACTACCCGCCATCATCTACTACTCGCCATCATCTACTACCCGCCATCATCTACTACCCACCATCATCTACTACCCGCCATCATCTACTACTCGCCATCATCCACTACTCGCCATCATCTACTACTCGCCATCATCTACTACTCACCACCATCTACTACTCGCCATCATCTACTACTCGCCATCATCTACTACCCGCCATCATCTACTACTCGCCACCATCTACTACTCGCCACCATCTACTACCCACCATCATCTACTACCCACCATCATCTACTACTCGCCACCATCTACTACTCACCACCATCTACTACTCGCCATCATCTACTACTCGCCATCATCTACTACCCGCCATCATCTACTACTCGCCACCATCTACTACTCGCCACCATCTACTACCCGCCATCATCTACTACTCGCCATCATCTACTACCCGCCATCATCTACTACCCGCCATCATCTACTACCCACCACCATCTACTACCCGCCACCATCTACTACTCGCCATCATCTACTACCCGCCATCATCTACTACTCG